CGCCTCCATTAATTCCAAGCAATGTGCAAGCCCTTTATATTGTATTAACCATCCCTATCAAGCCATCCATGTTGTGCATTTGCGGATCCTGTCACAATCAAAGAGCAATTTTCCAAATTTGCTCTCCTCCTCTTCCAACCTCGGCGAAACACCATGATCACCGTCACCCGCTCCGATCCCAACTTCTTCTATCTGAAAATCCCTAATCTTACTAACACTATCTTTTTCTTTTCCTTTTCTATTTAAATGGTCTAATCTTTTATACTCCTCTACTTCAAACAAATATAACTACCTATTCTTAACTTAAAATGTGAGCACATAATTGAGCTCACAAGCACCCATGAAGATGTATATCATGTAGTGGTAGATAACCTTATCTGGAATTCAGAGGTAACTGACTACTAGCTATGGATGCGAATTGTGATACATTTGAGTGTGTAAGCGATCTTGTCCAATATGTGTATAGCATGTCAACGATGTAGAATGTATGGCAATATATGTTTGCACGACACATGTCATGTCTTTTTGTATTTACTATTCTTAGCCGTTGTTTTAAGCTTACGAGTCAAAGAAGTTGAGAGACTCAAAGAACATTTAGTTCTTAAAGTCGAGCCTATAGCATTGGAAGTGGTCTACAATGGATTGATTATCATGTCGATGCCCATAAGCGTCGACCTAGATTTTTTAGTGATTGGATTGGGCTCGATGGTGACGTTCGTGTATTGATCAATGGGGTTAACACGTATTATTTCATAGTTGTGATACATTTGAGTGTTTATGTTCTTGTCTCCTATATGTGTGTATGTGTGTGTGTAGCATCTCATCGATGTAAAATGTATGACGATACATATTCGTATGACAAATTAGTTTTTAACGAGAGTTGCAATAGTCAACGAATTTGTGGAACATATTCACCAAGTACTACATCAGGTCAAGAAAAATTTGATGGTAGTTCAAATTCGGCAAAAACAATATGATGATGCTCATCATAGAGAAGTGATTTTTGAGGTAGGATATCATGTTTGGTTATCTACAACAAATTTGTCTCTTGTCGAAACATCAAAATTAAACCCTTGGTTCATCGGTCCATTTTTTGTTATGAAGCGTGTTGATGAAGTGTCATACAAGTTGTAACTTCCATCACATATGAAAATACATCTGGTATTTCATGTGTCACGATTGCAAAAACATGTGACACGATTAAAACAAATCACCAACTAACTAGCATTACTTCAGGTTCCAACCTTGATAGGAGATCATGTGAAGTTTGAGGTAAAAAAGAAACTTAAAAAAAGTATTCTGAGTTCATAAATATCCCAAAGTAAAGTATTTGATTCAATGAAAAGGCATTCTATCATATGAATCAACTTTGAAACCAACTAAAAATTTAGCAAATGCACCTCTGGAAGTTCAGGAGTTTGAACGTATGTGCAACAAGTACATTGCATCTTAAAAGGAGGGAGGTTTATAACCATTTTAGTAAGTTATAACTAAAGTAGAGTTTACTCAAGATTGAATAGAGTAGATGATAGTAAAATATCTACAATGCCATGTCTACAATCTACGTGCTAGTTGATGTGTTAGTTGGTAACAACATGTGAGCAATCCGTGTGTTCTTTAATTATTTCTGCCAAATCATCAATCCACTATGAGTGAATTGGATGTTGTTGATGAGTTCTTATCTTTTTGTACTTCTTGGTAAGAGTTATATAAGGAAACGGATAATCATTGTTGTTATTTTTCATTTTTGAGTGAACTTCTCTCTAAACCCTAGTGTTACAAAGCGTTGGTAGAAAAAAACACGTATTGGAGTGAAAGTTGGAAAAAAGAGAAATTTCATTGAGAACTTTTGAATTATGTGTGGTTACAAAAATTTAAAAATGTTATGTTAAAAGATATGTAGAAGGATAAGAAGAAATTCTAGATCACGCACTATACTCAAGTTTTCCAAAAAGAGAAGTCTAAGAATTAGAAAATTGGATAAAGTGACCAGATTGTATGCAAGTATTAAGATTCTCCAACAAAAAAAAATTCATATTTGCTCTGACATTTAAAAATATCCCCGATAAATGAATGACTTTAATTGCAAGTGAGTAACTTATAGATGAGCATGAGAATAATGCAAAATAACAAACTATCAAGTAACTATAAGATGTTTCAACCAATCCAAGACAAAAATAATATTATTGATTTTCAAAATCTTGAACTTCTAGATGTATAAGAAGTTGAAATTGAGACATGATAAAAGTAACAATAATGTCATGATCACTTCATTCTTTTTGACTTCTATGGTTCCAAATAAATCTCATTAAAGTAAATACTTGTATCTCTCCAATAATATTGTTGTTATATTTTCAAATCTCCACAATGTTGATGATGTGTTCCATGTTTGAAATTTTATGAGCATTTTAATACTTTATTGTAAAAAGTTTTCTTATATTCCACATCAACACACTCAACTTCTTGGATTGCTAGGTTGATGAATTTGTTTCCACTAGATTGTTTGACCATCATTCAAATGAACATTAAAACATGCTTCTTAAACTTTTTGGACTTTTTAAAAATCCTATCTCATTGCTTCAACTTGTAAAGATGTAAAATTATGATCTAACCAAATACTCCATCCTTTGAAAATGACGTTGTTAGCTTTTGCATTATCACGTTGAGTTTGATGAACAAAGTTAACTAGAATGGCACAAGGTTGGATTCTTATTTTTTAAATACGAAAAGTTTCAACCAAATCTAGATTTTGCACATGAAGTATTTCAACTAAAAACTTCTCATAATACTCTTTCAATTATTCATTCTCTATTTGAAGCAAATATAAAATTCTTCCATTCTTTCTACGTGCAATGTGGTTTGACTTTTTAATCTCTTGCTTTTGATAGAAATAGATTAAAGTAGCTTTTGTAGTTTTAGCATACGCTTTCATTTTGACTTTTAAATTTTCAATCACCTCATGCGATCTAATACTATTGGAAGAGTTGCTAGAGCATGAATTATTTTGAATATCATCAACAAATTTAGATAAATCAAGCACCACAAAAAAATTATTTTTTGAAACTCTTCACATCTTTCATTACTTTTTAAAACTCTTGGATTTGAGTGTGTACAAGTATAAATTGAGCAAATTTTAGATTGAATTCATGTTCAAGCTCTTTCAATTTATATAAAGCCGCTTGCACAAGATTCAATATTTTAAGTTGAGTAACCATCATGTAGTTAACTTTACAAAATTTGTTACTTTTTTTAGCCAAAAATGTTGTCAGCTAGTGAGCTTTTCTGAACTTCATGCGGTTATAAAGTGTCAACTTTAGTTAACACTCAAGCTCAAAGATATGGTCTTCAAAATATTGGATTAGCTAATTTCTAAAATAAAAATAATAAAAAACAAAAACTCAAAAATCACACAACTTCATTTTAAAAAATTTGTTGAGGCTGAAATTTCATAGCCTAATGTGATTTTTTTTAAAACACATTTTCAAAAATATTGAGCTTCAATTGCACCTTGGGCTTGAAAATATGTACTCTACAAGATTGAATTATTCAACCCTTAAAATTCAAAACTCAAAAGCCACACAATTTTGTATGTGAAACTCAATTAAATTTGAAATTTTGTAATATAGTGCGTATTTTACAAATCTGCGTACCCATAGAATTTAGTTTTAGTTAAATTCAAGCTTGAAAATATGAGTTTTGCAAAATTGAGTTTTCCAGTTTTTAAAATAAGAAATTCAAAGATAACACAACTTTCTTAAAATAACATTGAGGCTAAAATTGTGCAAGTTAGTGTGACTTTTAAAACTTCAACTTTGAAAATATTTCAATTTTAATTCACATTTGGGCTTACAAGTATGGCTTTAGAGTTCTTCATTCCCCAAACAAGAAACTCAAAAGCCAAAATTCACACAATTCTGTTTGTGAAACTACGTTGAGATTGAAAATTTGCAAGCTAGTGCGGCTTATACAATTTTACGCGCCCACAAAGTTTTAGCTTCAATTAACACTCAAGCTCAAAGATATGGCTTTTGCAAGATTGAGTTACCCAAACCTTTATATAGAATACCCAAGAATCATACAACTTAGTCTCTGAAACTTTGTTGAGTCTAAAATTTTGCATCTTTCCAACAAAATTTGCATGGCTAGACTATTCAGTAGATTTAAAATATAAATAAAATTCACAAAAAGTCACAAATCATGATACACCAAACAAGAATGAATTAATATTGGATAAAGGAATGTTGTTTTATATATTTGCTATATATCTTATCTTTTCATTATGATGTGAATAGTTTTTACTGTCAATTGAGATATATTCAAAAAAATATTTCATTGAAGTAGTTGTATTTCTATACTTTATATAAACATGCATGTGGATATGGTGTAGACTATGCATATATAATATATAATTTCTTCATACATTATCGATATATATTCCATCGTAGGAGAGATGGATACTTTTGAATATTAGGCTTCAATCTAGCGGTTTTCATCTTCATTCTTATCATGTGAACTTAATATCATCTAAATGTAATGATTTCTATAATAATCAAGTGTGTTGAGCAAAAGAATTATAATTCATGATGCTAAATGTTCTTTTTTATACAGTACTGTAGTATGAGCAGATTCAAAAAATGGTGACGATTGTGCTATGATTAGTCAAAGATATATACGTGGCATAGGAGAACATTCTAGTGGATTGGATTTCGTAATCAAACACATTGTAATGACATGGTTTTGAAGAATTCACTATTTACATTTGCTTGGATTTTCTGTGTGTGTAGCACCGTCTTTTTTAAGCAAAAACTCAGTAATATTTAATTTCTTTGGTTGTCAGAAGAAGAGAAAAAAGTTTAGAGAAAAGTAGATTGGGGCGCTGGTATCGAACTAGGGGTCAACCCTAAATGATGATGATTAGACTACAAAGATTATGAATGTGAGGTACATGTGATGTAGGTACACGTGTTCGGGATGTAAAATCGTTACTATCGTTTCCTGTCATGGTTTCCTCTGTAGCATGAGTTGTTCGTGTGTACTGTCCTCTCTGTTCTCATGGTTCTGCTATGGAACTCTATCCCCTGCGTCGCACACTTCAATGTTTTGATCTTTTGAAAACAACTGAATTACGTGAGTGGCTTTTCTCATGTCACACGCTGTTGCAGTTGCAAGAGATTGTGATTATTCGACCTTTCAGCCAAGAGTTGGGTCTACACGTGAAATTTACCACTTCGCGTCGTTTGCTTGGCGAGGTTGACTCAAATGTTGATAGCTTGTAGATGCTGGCAAATGGAATAGGAAACTTGTCCTCGTGGACGATTGTGTGAGAATGTGAAGTACGGGTAAAACGAAAGGTTTTGCATCTGCTAAAGCGTGACACTCGATGTATTAGAATCGCCTCCGCAAGCAGACGACATCGATGAGCGCGAGGTATTTTCGAGAATATGGATCCCAGATCAAGGATCAGCAGGATATATGTGTCCCTTCCTGCGCGGGAACGCGCGGGTCATGAAAACGCGTTACAGAGTTTACAAGATGCGCTTTGTCCGTAACGTCGACGCAAACCTTCTCAATTGACGGGATTGTCATTGTTACGCGCTAATCAAACCGTATGGTTGTAAGCTTGTATCGTAGTTTCTCTTCGTTCCGCGTTTTAGACGAAGTGGGGTATCATGGTCATAGTATGGTGGAAAAGTTTTCGTTCAGGCAAGCTGATTTCACTCTGCATACGAGATCCTAGAAACACACAGTTTTAGAACTGTGATATGCTCGGCCTGAATATGAACTGTTATATTTTATTGAAGCAGAGCGTGTGAAGTTGTCGTGCAACTTTCCTACTGTGGGAATCGTGGGGAAAGGCTTTGTTTTTGGTCATTTGGCCGTATTTGTTCTTTGGACAATCAGAGGTGTTTACAATCGTCAAAATTTACAAATATAAATTTTTGACAGGTGTGAGAAGGAGAAATGTGTACGATGCACGGAGAGCTAGTTACAATATTACTGATGGTTATCTCTTAGTTTTTAAATTTCAATCACAAACACTATGGCTGCGTTTGGCGTATATTGTATCATTAACAGTTCTCTCTTCGAGCACTTTACATTCTGATGGAGGCAGGTGAATTTCAACAGTAAATTAGTGTTAGAGACACCCTGCTCAAGTTCATTAACACCGGATTTCTTTTTGCTTGTTGGCTACTTCTTAGGAGTTTATTCTTCGTGGCGACTTGTAAGTTAAGAGTTATGCTTGGGCTTCTTCAGTTTCAACTTGGTTTCGTTTCTTGCAGTGCCAGTCAGTACTTTCATTGGATGTGTACTCACGTAGCCTTACATCTCTGGGCATGTTGTCTTTCGCTGAGCTAGTACTTTCCCGTCCCTTAAGTTCCACCTGGACAGCAAGGTGCCCTGTCGTCATATTTGTAATCTTACCATCTTCCTTTTTGATTTCCGATGACCTTCTTGCCATGCGAGTATTCACGATGGTCTACCTGATTGTCGTGGTTCGGTCTGCAGACTTTTCTGCTTTTTCTGTTGTTTACTTTTGATTGCACTGACTTGATTGCAGCCTCTAGATTTCTATCGAGGACCAGTAAAATTTAAACTAGCACATTTTTTTCTGATACTTTCCTGCTGACATTACAATTTTGTTCATTCCTTCCCTTGTCCAAATTGCGACGACTTTGATTAATCCTGCTGCTACTTGAATGTATAGACTTTAGGTACAAATTTGATTGCTTGCGCTGTGGATTTTCATCTTTTCTGTATGTATGTGGACACATTCTTAGATTTTAATCTTCCACCACTAATAACGTTTGCGCTGTCGAGCTATCATTCACTTTGTTGAGCATGAGAACTGACATGCTCTTTAATGTTCATCATGGCCCCTACAGCGCCAAAAGAGTTCAAGTTAGCACATCCTTTTCTGGTTAATTTTCGGTAACATGGACATATTTTCTTTCCCTTGAGTTGTAAAATCTGTTTAACTCCTTTAGCAACAATCTGCACTCCTTCTGCAGCTTGAATATATATATACTTCTTGTACAAAGTCGCTTGCTTTTGCTGAGCGTTCGTTTGGCCGTTTCTTGACCTTACAAGTATCCACTGTTCGTAAGATTTTCAGCTTTATCTGCTAATCACGTTTTCCCTGTGCATCCATCGTTCATTTCACTAGCTGAGCATGCCTTTTTATCTCATCGAACCTCTACCGCTAGGCATGAGTACTCGTACTCATAGAGGACAAGCATTAGAGGTTCAATTTGGCTAAATGTATATAAATAGACCTGATTTTATGTTCAACTCACACTACATAGTGAACAAGTACGTTCCGTTGCAGGTCTTTACTTACTGGAGCCTCGAATCGAGTAAAATAAAATAAAACGAGTAAAATAAGTGATATTCAGTTCTTGAAAGTCCACTATTGACGATATTATGGTATAACTTCTCTCAATGAGTTACAAAAAGTCTAGGATGATTGTTGCACGTCCATTATTAGAGATCGAATCCTGCAAACTTCGCATCTTGCCTAATTTGTTTTGTACGAAATTGTTTTTACCAATTGTGTTTCACATTTTAGTTTTCGATGTTGAAAGAACCGAGTGTCTTTCTGCACGCTCTTGTTCTTTTGTGATCTTACTGGAGAGGCGTCAATTTGCGGGTCTTCACATATGTAATAACTTGTTTATTAGACTGGAGGGTCAAGCTTGCAGTGCTGCGGCCTGAGGATACGTCTTGGAAAAACCCTTGTTGGGAAGTCTGTCCCTCCTCTATACTTGTTGCAGACTTACTAATGCTTATCTTCATTTTTCTTGCTATTTCAGGAAGGAGCCTTATTGATGTGCGTGAGCGAGGAGTTTGCGATCGAACTTTAGTCTTCAGTATCCCTCTACTTGTCATTTCGCAGTATTTATGAGAAAATATTGGGCCTTTTTTCTTTCGTATCCACTCGTAAGAATCCTACAGTGCCTTCAGTACATGTTTTTCTGTCATAGTTATAGAGAACTCAAGTAGACTGGGATTGCTCACCATAATGAGTAGTATTATGACCAGCTTTTCCTCCCCAGGAAGGACACGCAAGGGCTTTTTCTTGTGATGAAAGGTTTCAACGAAAAGACTTCAGCCACTTCAAAACCTTTTAGTATATTCAAATTTCGTGTGGTAAATTCCTAGAGTCCTTAGGTTACGTCTTTTACTTCATGGAGACTTTGGGACAGCTAGAAGCGTTGTGCGAAAGACTCTTCAATTCACAGGATCCTGTCGAACGTGCGGTAGCTGAGAGCACTCTGCAGTGTTTTTCAATCAATGCCGAGTATATATCTCAGTGCCAGTACATACTTGACAACTCTACTTCTCCGTACGCTCAGCTGCTGGCGAGTTCTAGTCTGTTGAAGCAAGTAACTGAACGCACGTTGTCGTTACAGCTTCGCCTTGATATACGTGAGTTATACAATCGAGTTTCTTCCGTATGTGGTTTACCGTTTTTTTGTTCAATGGTTGGAATTCCCTCAATGCTAGAGTTTTTGTGCCTAGTGGCTGTCTTGTGACCACGTATGCTTACTCTGGCATGGGAATTGTCAAGTAAGAAGGTTTCGTTTCGGGGAAGGAGATGATGGTTGATTCTTCTCGAAGCATGATACTGCTTTCAACGCACAGTATTTTTTATATCAATCATGGTTTGACTATTTGAGATTATTCTCTTTTCGATAAGATTGTTGTTTATACTCTATGTAGGACCACAGGAAAGACGTGTTTTTTCAGCAGTTTATTATGTATATCATGTCGCACACAGATGCTTCGTTAGTCACGTTCACTATTATAATAGAAGCAGCAATGGATGAAGTAAAGCGCGTCGAATGGCAAACGGCCTGTACAACCTTTCGTATGCATGTAATGTAGACCTACATTTATCGATACGGCACGCAGACAAGCACATTTTTTATAGAACATAATGAGTGGATGGGTATTCGAGCGTTCTTCGGACCGCGTACGACATGGTCGCCCATGTTACGGCTCTCCAATTCAACCTTTCTTCGGATCTGCTTTTGTCGTAAGGTCTCGGCTTGTGTTGCCAGTAACCTCGTGGTTCTACAAGTGGCGTGAGTAACATAAGTAACTTGCTTTCTTACTGCAAATATCTTTAAGATTCTAGTGGTCTTACAGCGGTCCGGATTTGATTACTCAATTTCATCCTACAGTAATCGTGCTTCTATATTACCAGCAGCGTTAAACTCTAGTGCCAAGTGACCCTCGTCTCTCTCATTAGTCCCTCCTCTTCCGGCGTGTTTTTAATTTCTTCTTACTCCTTTCCTGTCTTTTACAACTTGCACTTTCTAGCCAAGGCGTGGTATTTTTGGTCTTCTGACTATGAGTGGCCAATCGTTTTGAATACTGATGAAATCGTATTGCTCGTACATAAATCTGAGGCCATACCCGTGTGTTCCGTTCTAGTGGAAGTTGGTTCCGTGCCATGTATTCGGATGAATGACATTCCTATCTGATTTCCGTGATAGGGATTGTACTTTTCCTGGTTTCGAAGTCATCATGGATCTTGCTGTAGGAATACTCTGAGCTTTGATGTAGCTGTTCGACAGTCAAGATCTTGGATCATTGAGGATGGGCTTAGACTCCAATGTTGCATTTTGTGGATGATGTATGGATACTGTTTGATTGTGTTTTTGCGCACTTGTTAGTTCTTTTTGTATCAGGCTGTTACCTCAACTTACAACCAGAAAGTTTCAGATATCAAATACCGCTGACAGATTCAGTCAGCTGTCTTTGGTACTATTCGAAAGTTATTAATTATGCTCTCTCGATTTACAGGAAATTATATCGTGGGTTATTTGGCAAGCAAATGTCAAGAGCTGCAATCATTTGTAGCTACATCACTGATCCAACTGCTGTGCCGTGTTACAAAACTTGGTTGGTTTGATGATGGGCAATTTCGTGATATTGTTAAGGAGGCCATGAAGTTTCTGAATCAGGTGCATACTCCTGCCAATATCTTCTCAGTGTCAATGCTAGTCATTAGCTATCACTGTTCTGTTTGTGAGTTTCTCGTCATCTCGCAAAGACGTGTTCAAAGTCTGAAAAGGCACACGAACAAGCACTGGGCTTGAACCTTTCTTCTCCTCTCCAACGCACCTGCTTCCAGTGTTTGTGACCTGTGGTGACCTTACATTCAGTGAGGTCTTCCACTGTGGCATTCCAATTTGTTGAAGACAGTCGAACCGGTTTCGTCAAATGACGAGAACTTTCTGGACATTCTGACCAAACGAAGATGAGGGCCTGTTTCATACAAATCTGAGCAGGATTTATCATAACGTTTTGAAATTCTCGAGGAGTCTCTGCTGTCCACAAGTAAAGTTCTATCTCTCTACATATCTCTTCTGTAAGCCTTTCAGTCCGTGGGCTTATTATTGTATATTCGTTCCATTCGAATGATGATATCTATGATGAAGTGAATTGGAGTTAGTGTTCTACTCTCTTGCTTATCGAGTTACTGTAGTTGCTACATAAGATCAATCTTGTGACATAGTACGATGTATGTATCGATGATGACCTTTGTTTTTACGTACGTATGGTTTTCATTGATTTAGTGGTTGCCGTCATCTTCTTTTGGAGCTGTTTCCGCCGGCCTTCTTCTGCAGTTTTATACTTGGGATGTTCATCAAGGCAGGTAGCAATGAACTTAGGAATCTTCCTAAGTTCATTGCTAGCGGGTCTACTTTGAACATCCTGGTGCTTGGATGTATACCCTTTACGCAAAATGGGCAGTAGATCCCCGTCTGGAGTTGAAACACTCTCTCCAGATCTAAGAGCTCGTATTAACGACTATTTGATTTAAGCATTTTTGAGCTTAGGCCCTATTGGTTGTACGCAAGCTTTGTGAAAACTGAAGGAAAAGTCGAGGTTAATGCTCTAAACATTTAACTCAGTCGAGATATAGTTTTTGGTACGTTGAAGGTTTGGAACCATCGTTGACTTCTTCAGACTGGGAAAATACATTTGCTAGTCTAGTGGGGGAAACTTCCCCGTCGATTTGTGAACACCAGGAACGCATAGTTCAGGAAGCGCATGTTGTTCTCTGCGAGGGACAGTCAGGCTTCTCTTATTCAGAGGATGTGTAGATCACACTTTCATTTTGACCGTATCTTCTCTCGAAAGTTTACGGAAGTTTACGACCTGTTGTGTTCTTTAATAACGTCTGAGGGACAGTGTGGAGGGTGCTACCATAGTCTTAGGGCAATACCAGTGTACAATCTTGTAGAATGCAAAACGGAGTGAGTCAGGCAGGAGGCTAAGGCTTCCACCTCCACCAACAAATCTCTTGTGTGTTAACGTACGATCACTACTGGACACATTAGAAGATAGTGGCCTGCGCATCTGTGTGGGCATGGTACTTTACTGCATGGATGGTTGCCCATGAGTTCTGTAGGCAAGTAGAGATAGGTTACAGGAAACAACAGTTGTCAGCAAAATTGTGGTTTGACATGTGGGGGATGGATATCATTGTGCAGGAAATTGATACACCTGTATATAAAGGTTAATATGAGGGGACACGACCAAAGTTGGACTTGAGTGTAGCTAGTGATACCTCGTGTTTCGTCCCATACTAGTGGGAATTGAATACTCAAGACTGTTAGTAGGAACTCTACTGAATGAAAGATTTTAAGAAAGGGTTAAACCAGGTCATTAGAATGAACATTTTTTACGGAATCACAACTGCACAAATGCTTTTAGTTGTGCATTAGCATCGGGACGCAAACGACTAGCTCGAGCAGGAGTGAGATTAGAATCCGGGATGACGTCTCTTGGAGTTGGTAGAGATACTGCCAAACTCAAGCGGAGAATGGCAACTATATCATATCTCACGTTTGCGGTATCCCGAAGAACTTCAATGCTGTTGGACCAAGTATCTGCCAGAGAGAGTTAATTAACCTTGGTCCTGTCAGGCAAATGGTAAATGGTAAATAAATCAAGCCCGTGGGACCCAACGGGTCAGAAGGCTGAAAAACACATTACAAGTCATACATTCACTGACCAGGGAAAGGCCCCGAAGACCTTCTCCTAGCTACTGCGTAGAGCACTAGAACGCTGAATGATGACGTCCCTAATATAACGTCCCTGGGGCTTTTGTAACCCGAAGGTGGATGAGTCAGTAGATGGTTTGTATGTGGTTACCTTGTAACTTCGAAGTCATTCCATGTATGGTGAAACATCCCAGTATATATAGAAGAAACCCTCTCTCCTCTCAAGTAGTATAGTCTCTAGTTTCCCGAGCGACCTCAATCATGTCTTTTACGTTGTACCTAAGTTCTCCACGCGAGCAACGCTGAGCGCGGGGTCTATGGCTTTCAGTTTGTGACAAGCATATACACGCTAGTGAGTGTAGTTTTAATGGAACTTCGAGGCCTTGATTGAGTCTTGTGCAGGTGTAGTGAGGGCCGCGCAAATATGCTCCGAACCATATCTGAATCATCTTTCTCCAAGATATAGACCCTGAAAGTAACTTTCAGGAGGTCTGAAGCACAGAGAAGGGATTTAGGATAATTACAAACCTGAACTCTGGACGACATACCCTGACCCCGTGGTCTTGAAGTAATGAGCTCAGGTGGTTCCGTGCTTGAGTTGAGTAGGGAAGATCAAGTACCGGTTAGGAGTCATCCTTTGATCACAAGAAGAACAAGTTGGGGGATATGTTGAATTTTTTAAACTAAAACCTTTTAAAACTTGAGTACTGGTACTTTTACGAATCATCGTCAGTTCGGTTGTGGGTATGAGAGGAAGAGCCATTTCCGTTTGATCATAAGTACGCAGTATCCAAGCGTTTATTATACGGCTTCAACAGGCAGGGTCCAAGTCTTACTTTCGGTGTTTTATCACAGACTGGATTGTGGTAATTGATTTAGGGCTAAGGTTTTTTACAGGAGACGATTCTTACGATGACTCGAGTCTTTCATTTCTATGAAAACAGGGATTTTTCAGCGATGCAATTTACACCATGCCGTTTTTTCGTGTGGATACGTCCGACGCGTAGTCATCGTATCTCGTGTGTTCGTGGGTATGCGCTGCGAACTCATACGATGAAGTTATATGACAGAAGTAGCATAGGTTTTTTCTTGCTAAGGAATTCTAGTTTTGGCCTGCCTGTCATTTCGCACAAAATAGAAAATACATATCTCGTTATCCATAAACTCGATTGAAAACCCGCTTGACGACTTCCAATTAATACTTGAGGCTACATGGCCCAGATGGGTTGATGAGTTCTTAGAAATAGCGGGAATGGATTGAGGCACGCTCACTATCTTCTTTGATTACGGTCTCTGTACTTATTCAGCATCGAGAGGATCTACATCAGCACGTTCTTTCCTCCGTGCGAATTCGGTTCGTATCGGATTTTCTAGCGGATCTGCTAGTTCCGTTCTTCTTGTAGTTCTCAACGCCCTTCGTCATGCACGATTTATTCTGTATAGTACTGCTCGTCGACTTGAGCTCTTTTGGATTCTTTTGGTTCAAGCTTATTTGAGGGATGGTTTCTGTTGGCCGTTGCTTGTGCACTTGGATTCAATCAGATGCTCTTGCTTCGAGCTTCATTCCTGGTTCTAATCAGCGGGGGATTGCAGCTTACATTACGGCTTCAAAGTAATGCCACACCTTGTAATCTCCGTCACTGTCTCCAAGGTCCGTCCGGAGTACATTTCTGCTTTACTTAGGTCTTGTGAACGGATGTTCTTTGTGTACGCAGGTGACTGTGGAACACTTCTACATCGGATTGAAGATTCTTAATCAGCTTATTGCTGAAATGCATCAGGTTAGTGGTCCAGAATTTTCATGGAGCAAAGTACGTCTGGTTAGAATCTCGCTCTTTCCATTTATGCCCCGGTATAAGTGTCGCAAAGCTGGCACGCTCTGAATTATCTTTAACACTGTACATAGCCCATTGGATACTGGTGGAAACGACTCGTAGTGGTGTAGTAGGGGTAAATCCATGCCGTTTCACTTAAGGTTCATAGGTGCGTGGATACACTAATTGAGATGAGAGTTCGCTGAGTCGAATTCTCTATGCGATTTACGTATCCACTGCGTCTTTCTTCTCATGTTGATGTCCTTAGGTGTCTGCTGTCGCAATGGAGGTAGAGTTTACTGTGAATTTATCAACACAGGGTCTCCCACATTTACTTCCATGTCATTGCAACTATTTTCCTTCCTTCGGGCGATTGTTGATGGTTTTGGGTTTGTGGAGTTGGAGAATCTGTAGGTTCTGCTATTTCAGCGATCAAATAGCTTGTCCCGACTTTCTTCTAGGAATACAGATATTTGTGACGAGGAGTACTTAGTCTTCTACCAGTTGCTTCGACACTTTGTAGGGCAGTGATGGAGTTACGTTGTTTCTGACATAGCTTCTATCCTTGTTATCTTTATTCTATTCTGGTCATTGTTCCTGGTACATGGTGATTCATGCACTAAGGTTGTACACTTCTATGTCCAAAAGTTCTCATATTTGTTTCCTTTCATAGTCAATTTCGGGTACTTCTTTCTCACGCCTTGACTCCTCGTATATTGTTTGGTCTTCATTCCATATATGGTTCCATATACCGTTCTGCTCAGCGTATCAGTAGTACTTTATTTGATAAAGTAGTTTCAGTAGTAGTAGACTGTTACGTCTGATCGTCTGCTGCATTTTCCAAATCTGGTTGTGAGTCAGTAAGTTCAATTAGGGGTCGTTCATTCCATTACGCGAATATACATCTGTGTTCCTCTTCTATGGATGTGGCTTCACCTCTCACTTGTCCTGCATACCTCCAGATGACATAACACATATAAGTGTTGCTCGGTCTATTGAATGATTTGGAATCATAGCAGCACCGTAGCCGTCTGTTGTTTCTCTTCTCTTTGTTTATGAATATGAGGTGATCGTAATACTGTATATAAGGTTTGTTTTTTAGGCAATCCAATTTTGCGTATGCATTTACTATTGACGCCATGGATCGTACTCCGAAGTCAAGGGAAATCATCGAACTTCATCCTATCATTTCCTGTATAGGTCAACGCTGTCCTAGTTTTTTAGTTTCAATGTTGTGGTTGTAGAATGCCCATGTGTTGCGAGTTTTCAATTGTTCTAATTTTGAGTATCTTACAGCGTTTAGCTTTTTTCTAACCATGTGCAGGCCAACCCGGGCCTACCCCTTACTCATCATCGTAAGACCGCATGCTCCTTTCGCGATCTTGCTCTGCTTCAAGTTTTTCAAATATCACTGACTTCTCTGCGACAGCTACAAAATGATGGTAGGAGAACAGGATGGACCTCTTTTTTGAGCTGTTTTAAAGTTCCATTTTGTTGAAGATCGTATTTCAGTACTGTACTAGCATTAGTCTGATTACTGTTTATTGAGGATCGTGCGATAGAGCCACCATGACATGGGGTTATGGCTTATAATTGGATACGGGGGGTGGTTCTTACTTTCTTACTGTTAGGTCTTGCTCTATCAGGCTTTTCAGTGAACACAATCTCTGAATGTTGACCGTGTTTTAGATAAATCTCTGGTGTTAAGTAATCACAATTCCTCAGGAATGCCGTGCTAACATTTATAAACTTCATACCTCCAAGCTCTGTTATTTGTTTCTGTGGTTTGTAACTTTCTGAATATATCCAAACAAATTTTAGTATCTGATGGAGCTCTGACTTATTGATTCCATAACAGCAGAGTTGGACAATGTTTGCTGCATTCTTTTGTGTCAGGTTTTTGTACTGTATTATCCAGGTCCTTGGTTTTTGTCGTTTAAAGGGAGGCGTCTTCTTGAGTGTCTTAGTGAGGTCTCGAACATCACATCTTTCTGCAAGGACAACGTCCAGTGTTTAGGTTAGCGAAAGGGTTGAACGGTCGGTTTGTCGAGACGTGTACAAGGTCTAAAGCTTCATAAGCATGAGAAGTATGTCTGTTCTGTGATGCAGCATCAGGAGAGAAATTACAAGAGCAAGCCATCGGCTTGGCTTTGAAATGTCTTTCTTTTGATTTCGTCGGAACCTCACTTGATGAAAGTTCAGAGGATATAGGCACAATTCAGGTATGGAACTCCCCGACATGGGTCTCAGTCAATGATTTCTGAAATAACTCTCTATAAGTACGAAGGTTCAACCCTTTACTGTATTGCTCTCATATGTTTGTGTTCAATGTTGTGCCTTTCTCCAGCCTTCTTATTCCCCGATCTTTATTACTACTTCGTCGCTGGTTTATCGTAGCTCTGCATATTCACACAGAACATCCAAATTTCTCACTTTTTTTTTATGGATTCGATATTTCCTCAGACTCCCAGCGTTCCAGTGCTAAAATCTATGCGCTTCGGTATCCACTGTCTCTGTGACGGCAGTTTGACGCTTATGTGCCGCAACTTTGCCGCGTGTAAGTGACAGGAATGTGACGCTTCCGGGTCAAATATTGTTGATGGTCACTGGAGGACTGTCGAACGTGGGACTAGATCCTCTATACAGCACACTTAGTACTGAACATTGTCAATTAAGGCAGTGAGGCTATATTTAGGGTAGTATATTTTCTCTTGATTCTACTTCTGAATTGTTCAACTTCATGTACTGTCTTATCTGCACATATGTTGTATATTTCGTCTAATTCTTTGAGACGTAACACCTAGTTTTTCGTTTCTCGGTCTCATAAATGCTAATCCAGAGCGGCTGCTGATGTACTAAATATCTGCACAAGCACTTTCACTGCATTTATTATATTACAGTAGTAGTATTAGTAGTAGTAGTTGATGCAAAGCCAAAAGCAGCCGATCCTGTAATTCGTATCTACTGGTCCTTTACAGTCTTCAGGTAAATGAGCTGGTAAAGTACGAACATCCTGGTTGATACCTGGAAACTTCGAACGAATCTCATATGTGGAAATATGTTCCAAGCCTAGGAAGGTCTTCCTCACTTTCCAGTAGTCCTCTTTCGTCTCTGCCTTAATTCTGTCCTCTCTTCTTGTAGTACTCATTCTTCTGAATAGTACATCTCAGCTAGAGCGAGGTGCTGCATGGTCTGATGACCATACAGCACCTCGCCCTGGCTGTGGCACACAGTGACGACTGCAGTTTTAAGTTCACAGTTTTAATTATTTTCTACAGAAGAATTCTGTATTTTGTCAGTGTCCAATCACACTTGTGTCAGATCGGTCTAGTTTCTATTAAGTGGCTTTAAGAACATTGCTTTCATAAGTGGTGGGTCACCTTCACAGTGCCTGAGTTTGTCGTGTGGTGCATGACATTTTATGCACCAAACATAGTTCTTGTAAATTGTTCCTGCTGTAGTTGGTTCTGTGTGATCTTCTGCGTTCACTAGTGTAGTGGTTTGTCTACACAAAGTTCCCTGTCATCCTCTTCTTACAATAAGGTACTGCCGAGGAGCTATTGTGGAAATGAATGATTACCTTACCGCGATCTTTCATGCTTATGTTAAGCTTGCTCATTTGAGTTTATTTTCATATGATATACACTATTCCAGTCGACACGGCTCTATAATTTTCTGGCTTGAGTATAATGTAACGTCTGGCTTGAATGGTGGGTTGTCATAATTCCGTCTGATTGTGCAAGATTCCTTCGTCTTGGAGAGCTATTGTGGAGGATGTGAAGACGGTGCAGATTTTCTTTGACTATTACGCCATCACAAAACCACCTATTTCGAGTGAGGTAATTATTCACTTTGTTGTTCATTGTCTTCTTGCAGATTAGGCTCCTCGATTGTCCATTTCGTATCACCGGTACATAGAAGTTTTGTGCGATGATGTTTTAACTGATTTTGCTCACTACATCGATCAATATCAAGCACTTCGACTCGACTGTAACTAGGTCGTACTTCGTAACAATTAATGAGATGGATCAACGAAGCCCATATGACGTTTTTCCGCTGTAGGAGGACATTCCCTCTCGTAGTTTTTGGTTGTTGTTGCTGTTCTTGAAACACGTGAAGCCTTCTCTCCACCTTCAACATTGCTGCGTTTGGAAGTTCTCCTCTTTTTGTGGTGATTGCCGAAGTTATGAGTATTGCTCTCGATGATGAACAATAATGTTCTAGAGCTGTTCCTATTTGCCCAGCTCTCACAGAAATAAATGGCTGAGAGCTTTATGGGGAACGGAGGAACGGGGATTTGTGGAAGAATTCTTACACCCTTGCATTTGCTGTGGCAAGCGCTGACGTAGGTGTGCTGGTTAGGATTGCTGATTCTATGTGTAGAGTTTTCTAAGCAGGATTGAAGAACAAGGAAATCCCGTTCTCTTGTTATCCGAGCATACCCCTTGCGGTCTTAGGCATACACATTAAGGTTGGAAAGGTGTAGACCTTTCACAGCTGAGAGTTTTCAAAAAGTCCCAGTTTATCACATACATCTATAAAAACAAACAGATGTATTGTTTTGTACTTGGCCGTCGATTTTTCTAGCTACATGAATTACAATATATCCACCTACCTTATAATCACATGTCCGCATGAATACCTCTAGACTTGTCTATCGTCTTACGATCCAGAATTATAGAATGCAGTACTTAAATATGTGCATAGAGTACTTGTGAGGACAAGACCTTAACGAGAATTCTACGCACCGCCTGCTGAGCAGGCGCTGCATAGAATTGAAACTCTTAAGCTCTTTGCGGACACTGGACCCACGCTATTGGATTGTTTGCTTTTTAATCTTTCTCTGAAATACATTCGTAACCTTCTCTAATTTGAAATTGACTTTAGGATGGACTTTCGATGTTGCAGTCTCTGGAATGTCTTGTAAGACTCGCATCCGTGCGGCGGTCATTGTTTTCCGGGGAAACTGAGAGATCCAAGTACCTGATTTCTTTTATGCGGGGCACCAGAGACATACTTCAGTACCAGCAGGGTACGTTTGCGTTTACTCGCGTGTCTAACGTTTTGCAGAGTAGGAAGATTTCTTGACGACTAGAACAGTTTCGCCCATTCCACTATAAAAGCTTAAAGGTTGTTTTAGAACTGCCTTTGCCTGCCGCAATCACTACTCTTTTATGTTCCCCCTTTGTTATCTGACTTGTACGTGCTCTCTGAACATGGTACAAAGCTATGGTGTAGCCATAGCTTGCATCACCAGTGAGTACCTAGTCATCACCTTCTACTCTACCTACATCTAACATACACCGTAATCAATCAGTGTGAAAGAGTTAAATAAAATCAAATTCTTCATCTGACAATTTTTCTATATTTGGAGGTATAACGAAATGAACGTTGTGTTCCTTGGTCGCATGAATATCAACAGACTAGGAAATTTTTTTTATCAAGAGGTTTGCGAAGTCAGCGAAGTTTTTCTTGCTTTTCCTCTTGATACTTGTAATTTGTAACTGATGGACGTTTGTGTTTTTTGACTTGTATACTTGGAATGTGAGCATTAACACGTGACCTTGGAAGGCCCGGACGTACGCATCCAATTTTATTGAAGTGTTAACCAAGAAAGAAGAAAGTCATGAGCCTGGTTAGCTCCACAGCCTCAGCAAATACTTATATAACAAGCTGCATCTATTTTAAAGGCCTAGGAAGTCTGAGAACTCTTTCGTCTTTATGTACTGGGCGAGGTTGTGGAACTTTTGCTCTTTTTCTTTCTTCTGTGTTGCAGTTGACCAGATCGTTGACTTAAGTTCGTCCTCTACGCCACTTTGTATCCATGTTGCATTGCGTATCCGCATCTTGCTCCTCTTGTTCTTGAGAGTTATCAACCCCTTCCCTTACGTGAACTTCAGTCAATTGCCTAGACAAGGAAAGCGCTGAGTACATCGCTTCGTACTCGAGGGTCCGGAGTCTAAGTTTGGGTTTTTAACACGTAATCAGCACGTAATGACATGCTTCTTAATATTCTTACATGTTTTTGGTTGCTAATTTGGTAAGTGTGCGCTTAGCTTATCTCTTAATCTGAGAAGAATCTCATGGGTCTGTTATATGATTATGCACACACGTTTTCCTGTGGCGTGCAAACGTCCGGTTTGGCATTTTATTTTTGTCTGTTCCACGAAACGAGTTTCGTGGGTTTATCGAATGTTTTCTCCAGCTACCAGTATCTCGACTACCTCATGTGTATTGAGGAGGTATTTACAAGGCTATTCTTTCTTCCATTGCCTTTTTTGTCTTGTTCAAAATTCAATGTTTCGATCTCTTCCTCGTGGTTTTCACTTCAGTTTTTGTTTTTAGCTGCATTATCCCATGTACGCTATGTGGATGGAGCTTTCGATTTCAAATGAATGTCAACATTTCAAATTAGACTATTCGGCACTTCTGCTTTTTCGGGTTTAGTTCATCAGGCATGCTGGTTGTTTGAGTTGTGGGCTGTGTTCATTGACAGTTATTCGCATATCTTTGATTGTACGTTGTATGCCAACCATATTCCCTTCCCAGAAATCATATTTTGGATTCCATTACGCAATGTGTTATGCCCACTGGAAGTTCGATGTGCCTTTCTGTTATCCGTTCCTCACATTGTCAACAATGTGATTTGCTCCAGTTTCTGCATTAACTTTCAGACTTGACTCGGTACTTTTCTTCTTGATATTCCTGAATCTGGGCTCCTTGGGTTTTGCGTACTAAACCCTTGCGGTTGTTCACGTATCATCGCAGTTGTATGAATTTATTGTTGCATTGGATGACGTCTGGATTCAGTTCCCCACATAATTTCCATGCACTCTGTATGCATATGTTATCCTTGAGCCCGTGAAAGCAATCTTGGGTCGATCTTGATATTGCTATTTTATCATTCTCCTGTGATGCACCTCAAGCGATTTCCCGCACTTCCCATGCAGCTCGGTAAGAACTGATGGCGCATATGGGTACTCTGTGAACGCAGAGTGACGCTTGCGTCTCAGTTCTTGGTAATAGTCGCTGGGCCACGATTGCGGGTATCTTTAAGCCCCAGCAACACGTTCCAAAATTTGTGCATTCCGAATTGTTCAATTTCCCAATCTCTAGATATACACCTTCCAATATTTCGATGGTTCTCGTTCGCTGATGGTGCGTTCTAGTCCAGTCTGTCTGGTATTTTCGTTACATGTTTCAAGGAACTGTCAGCAGGCTCTCCTGGTTGCTCTTCCATGGAATGTACGGTTTAGTTCACTTCCGTTGCACTTGTGCTGTCTGGATTTTATTTTCTATGTCTTTAGGCTTGTTCAGCCACAAACATATGATATTTGTTCGTATATACTCCCTATTACTTCCTGTCTGTGCGAATTCGTGCAGTTAGTGTCTTTATAGTTAGGACTGTGATGTGGACTGTGACCGTGATGTGACTGCGACCCACTATAGGGGTGTGTCCCTTCGTATCCCTTGTCACATCCCTTGTCCCGGATTGGGTATTTAAACCCAATCCTGGACCTGTGTTTTATCAACAACTCTTACGATGATACTTCCTCAGAACTCAGAACCTGTGTCAATCCATTCTTGCATTGCTATACTTTTCTAATATGGTATCAGAGCTGGTTCTCTTCTTATTCAAGGACGAATCTTGAATCACTTGAATCACGAAAAGCATGATGGACGCTTCTTGCGGTGAATCATTCTCTGTGCTAACTGTCAGAGCAATTTCAAGGGTATTCCTCGAAACCGAAGTATTAGGTATACCTTAACCGTAGGCATTGGTGTCATAATCAGAATTTGGGTTTGTAAGTTGGAAATGAGGAAGAGAGAAGTAAGTAGGTAGTAAGTGGGATTGTTAGAATACTGTTATACTCCCTATTACTTCATGTCTGTGCGAATTCGTGCAATTAGTGTCTTTATAGTCAGGACTGTGACTGTGATGTGACTGCGACCCACTATAGGGGTGTGTCCCTCCGTATCCCTTGTCACATCCCTTGTCCCGGATTGGTTATTTAACCCAATCCAGGACCTGTGTTTTATCAACAACTCTTACGATGATACTTCCTCAGAACTCAGAACTTGTGTCGATCCATTCTTGCATTGCTCTACTTTTCTAATAGTTTACCTGAAACTAATTAAGATTCATGGCATGAAATTTGCAAGTCCAGTGAATTACTCGTGGTAGTAGTACTGTTATGTTACTCTTAAATCTACCCGTGCGTAGCAATACTTCCCCCACCCACACCACCCCCCTTAGTTTCTTCTTGTTTCTTTGTCCCTCTAGCACAGCTCAGCATGGGGGCTGTTTTGAGTAGAATTCATTCCAACTGTCCCAGGATTTCTTCGTTCCCTGTCTGTGTAGTGTCAGGCGGGGGTAAGCATCGATTGAGTATACGGGATTCTTCGTTATAGCTGGTCGCATCTTTGTTTCCAGGTTGAATTGTATTGATTCACATCACGAAGCTATAAAGACAATTAGTTTACAGGACTAGTATTCTTTCTCTTCACTTTCTCATCCCCAGTGTGCGCAAATACATACTCACTTGAGACGGTTTTAGTCTTTGACTCGTGTCAGAGATTTTTGCTCTGGCTCTCAGAAGAGGGCCAAATTCTTCTTCACGCTTCCAATTTCTCGTATATTTTATCGGGAAGAAGGTTTTCCTACACCCTTCGACATTCATAGATGCCCAAGATCTTATATAAGAATGTGGTTTTTTGTCACTGTGTCATGTTCGGTAGAGTGGTGGTTTCTAGAGGATGTCAAGCCTACGTTCATGAAATCCACGTTTTATAGAAAATCGTCCTGCGTTTTAAGCATTCTAGATTCGTGGTGACCGCTTTTTCTTTTTATACATGGAACCAACATATCTGTGTCCGTTGCTCAATCGTAGTTAAAGCTTATCGCACACATTTCCCTTCATCCAAGGAGTAGGTCCTTCGTGTTATTTAAAAATCAGTCTGTAGGTAATATCAGATGAGATGAAGTCTCTTCCGCCGCAGGTCCTGTAGAATCACTTCCATTTGCCGTAGCTTGCCTGCTCTAACCTCAATAGCAGTGCTTAGAATCTATTCAGCAATGTTTTGAGGTCAGATGTCGCGAAGTAACAACTTCCACTTTTAATTCCAACTCCAGTTCAGTTAAAACGCTATCCCCACCCCCATATCTCACTAATCTAACGAGTTGTAATGAGGAGCTGAGAGCCTGATAACTATGCTTTACCGTGTATGAATGAACAGCAATATACGAGCATGAGGATGGACACTGAATTTCAAAACCTTGAAGTAAATTACTTCAAGGTTTTGAATTCACTTTCAATTCAATATATATTTTGATCTTATCGAGTTATTGTTATATTCACAACATGCAAGAACTGTAACTGCTAGATTCGGATTTCACGTCTTTGCTGATGAGGCAATTCGTCATTGCTTGTATTTTTTTGGCTGATTACACTCTTGTAATCGGACATATAAACTTATTCATCTTTGCATGCAGACATTTCTTTCAGGATGTGAGCCCCATCGTTTACAAACGTCTTGATGCAGGTCTTGGTCAGCATGAAAATTATCATGAATACTGTCGTCTACTCGGCCGCCTGAAGACAAACTACCAGGTATACCTTGAGATTCACGCTGAACGAGGAAATTGTGTCCGATAATCTATGAATAATACACATCATTGTCTGCATTATCCATCTGTGGTTGTGAGGTTCTAGATTCTGGGAGAGTGTAACATTAAATCTACTGGCATCAAGGGAGATAAGGAATATTTGAACATCAGTTTGATATTTAGATCACACAAATAGCGTTTCCATATTATTGGAAGTGAATCAGAAGGATGGTGAGAAACAACTCTAGATAATGCATGACTACTCTCTTCCACTTACTATAGCTAGCTAGCACTCACCCTTACCCTCATATACTATCAGAGATACTATGAGAGGTAGTAAACTGATCAGACTTACGTAGATACTCCCCTTTCTCAGAAATGAGACCATCTCAAAGATCTGCTAGGGCACTACTTTACTGGAACCTGTGATCAAGGAATCTGGAATTACCGCAAGTTATTATCTCCTGATCATTAGCAAGGTGATTGTCTGACATGTGTTCCTCTGTTGTATTGCTTTTCCTAACTGTAGAGTATATTGAGTCTGAGGTCTAATCCTGACACATATCCGGAATCCTTATTACTGAGCCTGAATTACTGACACTGGACATATCTGAACTTTAAATTTGCTGTGGCTATTGACTCAATAACCACAACAGATTCGATTCTGTTGGTTAGGACCTCTTCTGTATAATGTTCCTGCCAGAGCAGGTCTTTTATAATCTTATAGAATCTCTAGAGTTTGTCAAAACAGTAACAGGTTATAATTATCTATCTAGCATTCCTCACTCCATTCAAAAGTTTCATCAAGTTTCAGAATTGGATTTTCAAGGCAACCTCCCCAGTCTGCGTCAGAATATCCAGTTAAACCGGATGGTTTATCAACCCTTGTAAACCCAAGGCCAAGAGTCCCTGTCAGATATCTGAAAATCCACTTAACTGCCTTCCAGTGCATTAATCCGGGATTTGACATGAACTGAGCTACTGAACTAACAGCATAAGATATGTCAGGTCTAGTACAGACCATTGCCCACATCAAGCTTCCAACAGCAGCTTGATACGGTATATCCTTCATCTCTTGACTTTCTCCCACTGAATTAGGAGAGTCAAGCACACTTAACTTCAAACCGGGTTCCATTGGTGTATCAATAGGCTTACAGTCAGCCATGTTGAACCTCGCAAGTTTTTCAACCAAATATCGTGGTTGGGACATCCGAATCCACCCTTCTTCACGATTTCTGTCTACTTGCATACCAAGAAACCGATGGATCTGTTCTAAGTCCACCATATCGAACTCCGTTTTAAGTTTCTTCTTGATCTTTGTAAGAAGATCCAAGGAATTACTTGCCAGTATACAGTCGTTCACATATAGTGCTAAATACACAAATGCATTCTCCTGAGAGTATATGTAAACATTCTGATCTGCATTTGCTCTGGTAAAAGCAATCTGCAGTAAGAACGAGTCAATCCTTTGATACCACTGTCGTGAGGATTGCTTCAGTCCTTAAATGGACTTGTTCAGTTTACATACCATATTCTTCTCAGAAAAGATATTCAACCCTTCAGGAAGGGCCATGTAGACTTCTTCATCTAACAGTCCGTTCAAATATGCAGTCTTCACATCCATCTGGTGCAGCTCTAAGTTGTTTTGAGCTGCTAGAGCCATTAACACCCGAATAGATGTCATCTTTACCACAAGAGAAAATGTCACCGTAAACCTGTGAGTATCCTTTCGCTACTAACCTGGCCTTGTAGCGATCCACAGAACCGTCTGGCTTGTATTTGATTTTGAAAACCCATTTACAACCGACGACGTTCTTGCCCGCAGGTAATTCTGTCAGCGTCCATGTTTGATTTTTCTTCAAAGAAGAAAATTCATCTTCCATCGTTTCTTTCCATTTGACAGAATCTCCACCCTGTAAGACTTCTTGATAGGTAGTCGGCTCTTTGCGAGTCTCTTGATATGAATCTAACCTCTATGCTTCTTCTTCCTCTTTTCCAACAATTGGTCATATTTTGTGTGGGAAGAGGTTGAAGCTGCCCCCTTTGCTGTAGGGTCAGGAGGTTGAGCAGCCGGGGCCTCAGATGTGCCGGGGCCTCAAATGTAGTATCTTGAGTTCTGAGTTCACCCAGTAGGTGCTCGAGGTTGCGAACCGTATCATCAAGATTCTCCCGAGACTTCGAGGCGCGCCTCTGATAAATCTTACCAAAAGGGGCCGATAAGTCGCGGGAACTTCAGCTGTAGTAGGATTACTCACAGAAGGAGTGGAAGGAGCTGGTGGAGCTTTCACTCCAGGTGATGGTGTTTCTGGACTGAAGGCTCCCACTGCGGGTGGCATTTCTGGTGGTATTATGGGCGGAAGAGGAACCCTGCAACCTGGAGCGGTAGATGAGAGAATCGGGACTTGACCGTAAATCAAACTTATTCCTCTTATTATGTATATCTATACTAATTCTCTCAAGCTTTATTTCTTTTAATATATCTCAAGCTAATAATTCTCTGTTAGATTTAGACGATGCAATAGAGAGTAAGAGATCTGTCAGTTGAGGAAGGATTGAAGTTATGAATTGATGGATGATGACATGCGACCCGGATTGGGTTTAAGTACCCAATCCGGATAGGATCAAAGGTCACTAGAGAGCACACGGATCGTAGCTCTACGAAGGGTTATGCCCCTGTCACGGGACGCACCAAGAAGGGTCGCATCCCCAGTTAGTATCCATCCTAACTATTAGTAACCTCAGTCCTAACAACTAGGACATAGAAGGGTCGCATCCCCCGTTAGTATCCATCCTAACTATTAGTAACCTCAGTCCTAACAACTAGGACGTAGTATACAGGTCCCGAAGAAGTAGGGAGTAATCAGCATTCTAACATTCTCTTACCCGTAGCTTTGCCAAGTCAAAGCTTCTCCATCTGATATGGTCTGTTGTAATATGGCAACCAATTGGTCAAGAATTTGTTGAAAGTCGGTGTTGATATAGTTCTGCCTGGTTGTATTTTTTAGGAATGCAGCGTTTCTCTTAGATGCAGTTAGATGAATCGCGGAGTATACTAAATCAACACTACGCGATTCATATACTCTTGCTAGCTCGTATTAGGTCTTAGCAGCTTTCCGATAGCGTGCAATTAGCGGTTGTTTTTCAAGTTTCATGGCATTGTTCAACATTGCCAAGGATAGCAGCTTTCTTTTGTTCTATTACTTTTTGCAATTAGTGGTTGTTTTTCAAGTTTCATGGCATTGTTCAACATTGCAAAGGATAGCAGATTTCTTTTGTCCTATTACTTTTTACTCCTTGCGCAGTATACCAAATCAACACTACGCGATTCATATACTCTTGCTAGCTCATTCTAGGTCTTAGCAGCTTTCCGATAGCGTGTAATTAGTGGTTGTTTTTCAAGTTTCATGGCATTGTTCAACATTGCCAAGGATAGCAGATTTCTTTTGTCCTATTACTTCTTACTCCTTGCGCAGGAAGCAGGTGTGCCGGTTGTAGAACCGGGGGAGTGGTTTGATACCTTCAATAAGTTCCATCAATCTTTCAATTCCAAAGATATAGCTTATTTGGTTTTTCCAAGAGTGAAAGTGTTTATCGTCAAATTTAGAATGATCTTTCTGTGGGTATTGGATGGAAGATCTTGGAGTAGTCATCTTCCTCACAACGTTTGCTTGTTTTCACCTTTTTCACGGTGTGGTGAAGAATACTGACCCGACTTTGAGAAAATTCTACGAAATGTGAAATTTCGTGGAATTTACTATTTGAATGGCAGAAATCTTAAAAATTTCACTCGAAATTTTAAAGAATTTTTGAAATTCGGGTTCCCCAGTGCTTCAGATCAATACTGACAAGTTTTAATCCAATTTGGTCAAATTGGAGCTGGATACGGGATCTTTGGTACTTGCTCTCTCAGGTGTCACAGAGTTGGTTCAAAGCAAGAAACTTCCTCTTGGCTTGTCTGGATTCAAGTCTCATTGAATGAGAATAGAATATGTTTTGATACCATATTAGATCATAAAAGCAATGAAAATGAGAGTTCACACGCACAGTTGAGAAAGAGTTGATTGTTTGATTGATGGTAGAACGCAGATTTGTCGTATTGGGTTTAAATATCCAATCCAAATGGGACCAAAGGCTGGGAGAGGCACACGGATCCTCGAAGGGAAATGCTCCTCACAGTGGAACACAACCATATCAAGGGTGACATCCCCTGTTGTTAAGAAAACCATCCTAAGAGTTAAGAAAACAGTAATCTTTACATCTCAATCCTAACAACTAGGAAAACCATCCTAAGAGTTAAGAAAACAGTAATCTTTACATCTCAGTCCTAACAACTAGGAAAGTAATGTACAAGTTCGAAATAATAAGTACTAACTGTATTCTAACACACACAATATGCCACAGAAAAATATTCTCATTTACAATCCATAGTTGATTTTCTGAATATATTCACCTCTCAAGCATGAGAAACTCATTTGAATATACATTCTTATAGGACCATTCTTTCCATGTCCTGCTTCCTTTACTATAGTTATAACCCTTCATTGTGCTTATTATGTTTCTTTCATGAATTTTATTTTTATCTTCTTATGTGTTTTAAATATTTATGTTCCGTAGTCATCTTGTTGTACCAAATTGGCGCCTTTTTGCCTGCAGACTCTATGTGGCGTTTAGACGTGACTAGCAGGACGAAGTGCGTATTTACCGAAACATGGATAGATGTATCGAAAGCCAATCATATTTCTAGCTATATTCTCTCACCATGAATTTTTTATACCATTCCAGTCCTTATCACTACTTCGTCTGTATTCTTCCCTAAATCTTCCCGCTCTTTCTCACATTCTGGACAGTATTCTACCAGTCTGCTGTATGTTGTAGAGGTGGCTGTTGGTCCTTATCGTACCTACTGGTTGTCTTTTGTGCAAATGCTTCTAAAGCGATCACCTACCCCCTTCTTACAATTTTATATCGTGCACATGCTGATTGGAGTTGAGAGGAATTGGTAGAACGCTGGATAGATTCAGATTAGATTGCCCAGAGTTAGGGCCGAGTTTAGCCCTGGTTTCTCGTTAGTGAAACAGAAACTCGTGACAAATGTTACTTGCTCCGCTTTTCCAGCGCTGGTGTTCACCGATGGCTTCTGTGAACAATGAGGAAACAGGATAAGACCTTCATCTGGAAGGTCTTATCATTACTTCATTACTTGATATCATCATTACTTCATCTGGAAGTAATGATGATATCAAGTGGTATGGCATGGAGGCAAATCATCTGAATTATATCATAACAGCTAGGTTGTCTAGCTGATCTTGCTAGACAATCTGTCTAGCAAGATCAGCACTGGTCGGTTTTGCCATTGTATGCTAGCGCAATCAAGGCTGCGGACCCGTACTAGAAGTGCTGAAAGATATTTGTCGAGAGTCCTGCATGCATGTGATTACTCGATCCTAGCCCGGCCCGCCCTGCCTTCTGGTGTATTCGAGATCAATCATCAAGCTTACCCTGATGGAGGTGCTCGAGACTCTTGTACGAAGTCACTCCAGCCCACTCGTTATCGAGCGAGACCACATTGGGACCTTACATTTAGTAAGATGCAGACATGAAGTAAGCAGAAGAGTAGCTAATGAAGAACTCTGAGAACATATTTTCAGAAACAAATTGGCCTTCTGGACTTTTGCTTCTTCGCTCGTAGATATCATCACAAACCTCCACGCTCTTGACAATTATTAATCTTTGCTACATACTGACACGCTTGGGATCCCAAAGTTGGGATCCCTAGACTCAGACCTACTCTAGCTCTAAGTCTCTTCAGCTATCCATCAGGTTTGTAGAGATCTCTGCTGGAGTGTCAGAAACCCACTCAGGGGACGTCGAACTTGCGAAGAGGCACCTCTGGGTCACGGTGTCATCAATTACTCTACCAGTATTCTGCAGGGTTTTGAACTACTTCTGCTGCAATAATTGGTCACGTCCTCATGCTTCCCATCAATGTTTTTAGATGGCTTTTGGGTGAATACTTCGCCCCAACATTTGAACATCATGACCGGCAATTTTGAGATTTGACCCATCACTACGTTGAAGCCTAGAAGAACATTGAAATTGAAGGTAGTTGCATTCACTTTCCTCACAGCTGGCTCGTAACAATCCTGACTCGCCTCATCCTTCATTTAATTTTAGTGGTTTTTGCTTTCGTTAGGTGGCGCCTCGGCTACTCTTAGATATCATTTGGGCACCTGAAACTCCTTCACAGTCCTCGCTTCGACAGGATACTTATCATAAATCTTGTAAGTTTCGCGCCGTAGGTAGCGGCCCTGGCACAGTGAGAGGTCAGACAGTACATGCGACGCTTCAGCTTCAAGAGAAGTTTGTCGCAATGGGAACTTGCTCAGTTCTGTTGGAACTATGTGGCAACCTTAAGGAAATGGTAGCCAAGGGAGCTCAATTCAGGAGTGAATTTGCAGCAGGTCCATGATCGAACAGGGAACAAGTCAAAATCACGCCCTTACCGAAGCAATAACAAACAACTTCGCACCAGTTCCTCATAAAAAACTGACCACAGTATTCAGACAAAGGTACGCTAAAGGGAAACGCAAGCGGTTAGTGACATCAATGGATCAGGCTCAAGCATATTTCCACCGAAAGTAGACAGTCGCTAGGGCATCCATCACTTTCTCTAGTTTCAATATACCCTACGCGTCTTCTGCTGAGAATCTGAAGAACCAGAATAGAGGAGACTTGTGATATTCTGAAAGGCTCTGCTGTCACGACAGCATAAAATACTAATCTTTTCAGTCGTTCACTCGGCGGAAAGGACTTGAAATTAGGCTCTTCTTTCTTAGCCCTAAACTAGATGTAAGTAGAAAGCTGAAGTATATTAAAAAGCTTAGTTGTGTCCCTTACCCCTTGTGACATGGTCTACGCATTTCGGAATCGCATTATCAGTAGTTTGATTTAAGCATCCAGTGGTCGCTAAGTTCGCGCGAGTCGAAGCCGGGCTTTACTTAGTCATAACATACATTAGTTATGTTATTATTGTTTATTATACATTCTCATGTATCGTCGCACGACGGGTATGATGATTTTGACCAAGAGGCCACAAACCCGGACGTAGGAAGGACTCACTCTATCGTTGTTATTGGTGTCACCATGTTTCCTAATTGTTGGAATTACCATTGAAACCATTGTTTTGAACAATGCACGACCCTTATTCGACCATGGAGGCCCAGTATGAAATCCACCGCTTTTAAGATCTTGCTTGGAAGGAGAACAGCCGGCAGATTTTTGCTTATTTGTCTGAGGACCCCTTTGAATGGCCAGAGTCGGCCCCAAATGCTTTAGAGTAATGAAGAAACTCGGTACGCGTTGTTTTGGTTCGTATGCAGCTAATTGTGCACCATGATGGGCACTGATGAAGTCATTAATTTTTTCTGTTCTGGTACTCATTTCTGCATGGTCATTTGTGCATTAACAATGTACAGTTGCATTTTGGTTAGCTGCTCGAAATATTTTTCTCCATAGGCTTCTGGGCTTTACTTACTAGAATGTGATATAAGTTCTGGATCTATCTTCATCTGTGCTTACGCAATGACGAGCATGTGAGGTACAGGTGTGTTTGCTTCTTCTTAACGTAGTAGATGGAAGATCGCTAAGGCAAATTGCATGTTGCACATTTCATTGCGTAGATATATATGTTCTTGGGACAGAGTATTGGTGAGTCCCATACGAAGGAGGCAAACAATCTTTTGCCATACTGCTCAATCTGTTCAATCCTTTCACTTGGTTTCTTCTGCTTTTTCCAATGCTCCTTGCGGTCTTTGTAGTACTCTTTCCTTGTAGTGCTCTTACCTTGTAATTGCAGCCGAAGTTTTGTGCGTAAGTGGTTTCTTAATAGCTTCCTTTTGTAATTGCCTCTGCTATGTCCGGCCTTACTTCTATCTCCTCTTGTTTCTGGTTTTCATCATACTTGCATCATAGATGTAGAGGTCTTCAGGCTGTGACAGGCAAAAACTACGAATGAAGCGTCTGTATGAAAAATTCACCTTTAGATAGCACTGATGATTATTAGAGGACATCATGAACGTGATGTTGCGTTTTCAATTGGAATTGACTATCGCTCTCTGCTTGCGAAGCTTTCAGAACTGGTGAACGTGGAGATTTATGGTGATTGGATTCGGTTAGTGGCTGAATTCACAATGAAATCACTGGAGTCTTGGCAGGTAACGCAAGTTTTTCTGCATGGCAGATTTTGATCCTTTTGGTTTGACCGCGTTGGAGTTTTCATTCGGATGTCTTCTCGGTCCATGATTTCCTTTCCTATTTTTCTCCCGTACAATCTGATTACTTCTATGGAAGATTCTACGTTGAATATAATTTCTGGATTCCTCTTCAGAATCTATAGGATCTACTCTTGGAAATCTTTTTCCTGGGAACCATTCTAGTTTTACTACTCTATCCCCGTTCAACGATTTTTTGTGTGAGATTTAATTGGATTCTCTCTCCACTACGAAATTCCTCTGTTTCCAATTATGTGTGCACTGAACTGCTTGTACTTGTTTCAAGTCATCTCATTCGTCTCATGCTGTTCACGTTGAATGCTCCCTCATTAGTCACTGCTTGTACAGAATAGGTCTAGAGTTCCAGTGTATCGTACATTTTCTAACTTCATTCATTTCATTTAAGCTTCTGTTTTTGATTGGCAGTACATTTCTCTCATTTGTTTATTTTGAATTTTGTGTTTTCACATCAATATTTTCTGTCCGTATATATACAAATATGGTTGTGAACAGTTTCTCTTTTCTCATTTCTCTAAGATTATTATACCTTTGAAACTACAAATATGCAAAGGCCTTACTTTAAGAGGATGAAGTATGTGATTTCCAAATTTGTTTCTCAATAAAAATCTGAACGGCGCCTTGCATAATAGTGGCAGATAAGAAGAATGATCAAGACGGGTAGGAGTTGGGAAGCATCTGCTTCTTAATAATATTTCCATCATTCATATGCCAGAAGTTTTTCACGACCTGTACCACTAGAGCAGCTTCTAAACGTGAAGTGGTTTTTGTTTCTCTATTTCAGTATGGAGGATTTTATAGAGCTTCGTCAATTACAGGCTCTGGATTTTTTTTCTGCTTCGATAGGATTTAATCTAGCACATCACTTCATCAATTAGGTAATCGATGAAGCGATGTGTTACCTTTCAATATTTCTCTTTTGATCCATTTTGATGGAAATGCTTGTCCGCTGAAAGTCGTTTGTCCTGCGCGATTGATGCGCTGTTGATGATTGCCGCTCTCGTCGACTTGGAGTTTATTGGACTTTATTGAATCAAGTTTCATTCACATACATTCCCGTCTACTTTTACTGGCATTTGAGAGCTGCTCCTCAGAATAAGGTTCCAAATGTATTGCCACTGTACCCGTAAGTCCCGTACTGAGTACCTGTACTCGGTCTCGCTATCTGCATATTTTCCTCTTGAATAATTGGAGATGGACGAGTCTTAGTCTTATTTCAGATGATGTTGAAGCCATCGAATATATCTTTTGAAGGACAATGCGTGTCATGTATTGACTGGTTCGACTGTTGTGCCCAATAACGAATAATTACTGGATTATTGTCTATCTAGTTTACTACAGAATCTCATTTCATATGTATCAATCACAGCATTAGCCGGCTACCGTGGATACCAATGTACTGGTCATACTTCTGGATGTGGTGCTGGAATTGTCCTGTTTAACTTATATCGCGATGATCGTTTTGCGTTTTGCAGTGGGCCAGTGGTAGCGTGTACTACCTTCTGGGGCTCTGGTCAAGGCTTGTGTCTTCAGTGGCGTACCTTAAAAGCGACTGCCCAAGTCTGCTTGATGATTATGTGCCTCAAATAACAGAGTCTTACATCAAGTCGAGGTTTGATTCCGTGCAGGTATAATTCTTATCCTTTTGACAGTTCTCTATATGTGGACGAAATATTCGCTTTATGACGCAAGCATTATTCATGACTCGTAGCTTGTTCTTTTTGTGCCTTCTTCATTCTTCTGAATCACTGGATCTGCTATGCCGTGGTTGAAATAAAAACATGACTTCTTAGGATTCGTACGTTGTTATTTGGATCGCAACCCTGGGAAAATATATTGTTATTTTAAACCGTGATTTCGAAAAAGATAGACCGGGAGGAACCGGATAACGAACTTGACATCTCAGTGTCCACTATCTACTCTGAGCTTACATTTCCTTACGTAACCTCATCACTGACGTCTGTGTACTATTTCACTGATTCTTCGTCTCACATTTTTTTTTGAGAACATAGTTATACATTCTACTAATATACTTTTATCATCGTATGAGATGAACATGAAGCTGATGGTTTTGTCAGAATCCATTGGCAGCAGCGAGGAAGAATTTAAAAGGATTTGACTAGCTTTCCGAAATTTTTTATTGCTTACGTTTGACATCAGTTTGACGCAATCAATAGGCTGTGGTGGACAAAAAGATTTCGGAAGATCCATTGGAACATCGGGAGCAGCTTCAAGATCAGCTTGATAGTCTTCCATACTTATGTCGATTCCAGGTTTCTCCGACATCTATTTGTTAATGTTTCTTCTATGACGGTTGTTTTTAGTGCCAATCAGTAGTTGCTTTGCAACCGATTTGCATTCACTCGAATCAATATGGGACCTGAGAGTGTGGGAGCTTTGATCAGGCCTTCAGGATCCTTTTGATGTTATTAACAGTCTCCAAAGGCGTGTGTTTGTACCTTGTCTCGAAAGATATATATATATATATATATATATACAGTCCTTTATTATGTTCTGCAGTCTTTTATTGACATTTTTCTCTTGTTCTTCCCTGCGTTTTTCAGGTGTATGTTGTGGACAGTTGCCCTTATCATTGACGTTGAGAGTCTAAACTTTATTATTGCCAGTGAAACGTAACCAGCAATGTTCATTTACGATACGCTAAGTTTCATTGAGCTTTTCTTATGCAAGCATGATCCGATGACTTATATCTGCCTTTATGAACATATTCTGGGAGGTACGTTTACAGTACGAGAAAACAAGCTCCTACATAATCGATCGCCTGGAGCCAGTCTTGGAGGCATACACAGTAAGTTCGTTTTCGATGATCTACGTCGTGATTTATTAGATAGATCAGCTCACACAGTCTCTGATTTCTTGGGAAGTATGAAAAGTGTATTATTGGAGTGCACACGGATGGGGTTAATATACCCAATCCGAGAGATACAGGAGATCCTACCAGGAAACCCTAACGGACACAGCGGCTGGTCGTGACCAGCCGTTGACTAAGTGTCACGAGCACTAACTACTATTACAAAGTAGTTACAAGTGTACGAGGAGAAGTAATGAGTAGTAATATTTCGAACACTCCCACTTACTACCTACTTACTTCGCTCTTCCTCATTTCAAACTAATAAATTCTGATTATGATACCACTGCTTTTCTCTAGCTAATGGTTTTGTCATAATATCAGCAATCATCTCTTCAGTTGGAACATAAACTAACTTCACCAAATTACTGGTGACGAGATCTTTGACAAAATGATATCGAATGTCAATATGCTTAGATCTCTCCTGATTTTTCTGATTCTCTATTTGTGAGATAGCACTTTGGTTGTCACAGAAAATAGTGGTCGACTCCAGCTCAAAACCTAGATAGGTCAGTAATTCTCTTAATCACATAGCTTCAGCTCCAGCCTTGGACAAAGCCATTTACATTGCTTCTGTAGAAAAAAGCGCTACTGACTTTTGTTTCTTTGATGTCCAACTAATGGTTCCGCCAATGAGTTGGAAACAACATCCAGACGTAGATCGTCTCGTGTCAAGGCAACCACCCCAGTCCGCATCGGAATATCCAGTTAAACCGGATGGTTTGTCAACCCTCGTGAACACAAGGCCAAAGTCGAGAGTTCCTTTCAGATATCTGAAAATCCTCTTAACTGCCTTCCAATGTGTTAATCCAGGATTTGACATGAACTGAGCCACAGAACTGACAGCAAAAGATATATCGGGTCTAGTGCAGACCATAGCCCACATCAAGCTCCCAACAGCAGCTTGATATGGAATATCTTTCACCTCTTCGCTTTCTCCCACAGAATTGGGAGAGTCAAGCACACTTAACTTCAAACAGGGTTTCATAGTTGTATCAATAGGCTTACAGTCAGCCATGTTGAACCTCGCAAGCTTTTCAACCAAATATCGTGGTTGGGAGATCCGAATCCACCCTTCTTCACGATTTCTGTCAACTTGCATACCAAGACAATGATGGATATCTTCTAAGTCCACCATTTCGAATTCCGTTTTAAGTTTCTCCTTGATCTTTGTGAGGAGACGCAATGAATTGCTTGCCAGTATGCAGTCGTCCACATACAGTGCTAAATACACAGACGCTTTCTCCTGAAAGTGAACGTAAACATTCTGATCTGCATTAGCCCTGGTAAAGGCAATCTGCAGTAAGAACGAGTCAATCCTCTGGTACCACTGTCGTGATGATTGTTTCAGTGTAAACTAAATAAGTCCATTTATGGACTTATTCAGTTTACACACCATGTTTTTATCAGAAGAGATATTCAACCCTTCAGGAAGGGCCATGTAGACTTCTTCATCCAACCGCCCGTTCAGGAATGCAGTTTTCACGTCCATCTGGTGCAGCTCTAAATTGTATTGAGCTGCTAGCCATTAACACCCTGATGGATGTCATCTTCACCACAGGAGAAAATGTCTCCGAAAAGTCAACACCATAAACCTGTGAATAGCCTTTGGCTTCTAACCTGGCCTTGTATCTACAAACAGAACCGTCGGGCTTGTTCTTGATTTTGTAAATCCATTTACAGCCAACAACATTCTTGCTCGCAGGTAACTCCGTGAACGTCCAGGTTTGATTTTGCTTCAAGGAAGAAAATTCCTCCTCCATGGCTTCTTTCCATCTAATGGAATCACCATTTTGCAAGGCGTCCAGGTAAGAAGTAGGCTCTTTGCGAGTCTCTCCATATGAAAAGAGACCTTGATGGTTCTTCTTCTCCTCCAACAGAAGATCATATATTTTTGAAACGTTTTCGTACTCTTTTCCCCCTTCGAAAGATAGGATCTATGGTGCGGGAAGAGGAAGAAGCTGCTCCCGAAGCTTTATCTGTGGCCGGAGTCTCAGATGTAGTGTATCGAAGCTGGATTTCATCCAGCAAGTGCTCGAGGTTGCAAACCGAATCCACAAGAGGAGTAGAAAAGAGAGCATTCTCTCGTTGCTTCCATGTGTGCCTCTGATAAGTCTGGCCAAAACGGGCCGGATGAGAGGCAGGGACTTCAGCTGCGGGAGGATGACTCACGGAGGGTGTGGAAGGAGGTGATGGTACTCCCACTCCAGGTGATGGTGTAACCGGTGTGAATACTCCCACTGCTTTTGGGGTCGATCTTACTTTTTCAATGTGGGCAAAGGCAGTGCAGCGGAAGACTTGTAAGTGACGCAGATCCGGCTTCTTTTCATGCCAAAGCTCATGAGGAGTTTTGTCATTGGGTAGAGCCTTTGAAGGCGATCTGTTATGCAAGTAAACTGCAGTATGGATGGCCTCGCCCCGATATCCATGAGGAAGACCGGAATGTGAGAACATCGCAACAACAGCATCGATCAACGTGCGATTCTTCCTTTCGGCTACTCCGTTTTGCTCAGGGGTATCCGGTATGGAATACTGTCGTTGTACACCATTAAGCGTACAGAAGTCAGAAAAGGCTCGGGACTTATATTCCAAAGCTTTATCTGAACTGAGAAACTTGATGCGCTTGTTCAGATAATTCTCAACCATGGATTTAAATTCCTGAAACTTAGCAAAGGCTTCAGACTTGTGTTGCAGCAAATACACATGCCTTTACCTCGAAAGGTCATCTATAAATGTGATGAAGTACTTTCGTCCTGAGAATGTCAGTATTCTCAACGGACCACATATGTCTGTGTGTACCAGACCAAGAAGGTCTGTAGCACGAGTAGCTCCTTCGCTTCGGAATTTTGCTCTTGTTGATTTCCCTAGAGCACATGAAGTGCAGAAACAAAGAGTACTTACAGAACATTTCTCCATCCCTTTCACCATGTAATGCTGCTTCATCTGCAGAATCAGTGGAAGACTCATGTGGGAGCTTCATATGCCATTGGTAGGTATTCTGCTCTTCAGTGTCGGAAACCGAATAACTTACATTGGTAGGAACAGTACGTGGATTCCCAGCCTATACAGCTTGTTGTCACTGACACACTCAGGAATGATGTTACCCATCTTCTCTTTCAAGATGCATTGATCAGGTTGAACCTGGAGATGTCATCTTCACAGATGAGAGACACAACTCTTGAAACGCAATAAAAGTTCTTGAAACTTCAAAAATTTAAAAAAAGCAAGAAATTTTCGTACTCCCCTTGTAATTCGACGCTTGGGGAACTGAATATCGGCCAACAGTCTCTCCAGCGTTTGCAACAGTGTGGGCCGGTGACAGAAAGGAGGTGCAGGTGCAGAGGTTAAGCTATCAAGAGTAAAAAAGTAGTGTGTTCTGAGACCATATTAGATAGATCAGCTCACACAGTGTTTGATTTCTGGGGAAGTATTAACAGTGTGTTATTGGAGTGAACACGGATGGGGTTAATTAACTAATCGGAGAGATACAGGAGATCCTACCAGGAAACACTAACGGACACAGCGGCTGGTGGTGAAAGTGGTCGTGACTAAGTGTCACGACTACTAACTACTATTACAAAGTACACACGTTTTTTGTCACACGTGTACGGAGGAGAAGTAGTGGGTAGTAATATTTTTAACATGATTTCTTTTTACCTTGAGAACAGTGAACGCTTTGGATTTTCTGGAATAGTTTTATCTGCCCTTGCGTTTTATTTGCTGTCAAGAACTTCCAGGAAAAAAAAGAAATTTGTTGTCTCGATCCCATGAACTATTAAGATAAGATCAAATTTGTCCCGAGAAAATGTTTTGAATGACAAGTTCCAGTCCTCTTATTGGTTCATGAGAAGTACACCAGCCACCACTTTAGGTAAGATATTGCCTAATTTGCGGTCGTTCATGTTGTGTTTGCAGAATGCTGGAAGGTTCTCTACTTCGAAGACCAGCTCTGACTTGACCTGTGTGGAAGGACAATTAACCTGGCTAATTCACATCATTGGAGGCATAATCCGAGGAAGACAAAGTTCCAGCACGAGGTCTGAGTCCAAAGAATTGTTGGTGATGTTTTGAACCTTTGATGTCTTACTGTTTGAAGCCTGAAAAAATATCTGTATATTGATCTGCTTGCTCGAACTTTACTTTCGGTTTGTCTCAGCAGTGAAATTCACGAAGTCATTGACGGAGATCTTGCTGCTCGTGTTTTCCAACTCATCCAGGTTATGGACTCTGGGGTCCATATAGAGGCTGTAAGACTTCTTGTTTATTTCTCAATTTTAGTTATGGAATGTTTCGTATGTTACGCGTCGAGATGCTTCAAACTAGTTGTAAATTGCTGTGATTGGGAACGTTGATGAACTTCTTTGGTCTTCGCCATCTGTCAGTGCACGTGTTTACTAGATTTCTTTTTAATGATTTCTTGTCACTTCTGGTTCTGATGTGTTCTAACTTTACCTGGCAGCGTTACAATGAACGAAGTAAGCAACGTCTGGACTTGGCTATTCTGATTTTTTTTCAGAATTTTCGTCGAGTATATGTAGGTGATCAGGCTATGCATTCGTCGAAGGTTACGTGCCTGCCCTTCAGGAAGCTTGCTGTTTATATCGTTTGTGAATGGATGAGGAAAGTCGATAGAGGAGATAAAAGCATGTAATGGCTAGATTCTACCGGTGGGCACTAGATTCTGTATCGTGTTTTTGCAAAATGTAGTAAGTTGTCGCACCGAGATTTACTCAAGAAATTCACCTGGGTATGAATCATTTACGGACAGTCTTACATATGTTTTCCCTATAGCACAGTGCGTTCATTCAGTGTGTAGGTGATGTAGATTCATAATTTGTTTATGTAATCATGTCATGCGATTTTCCTTTCATTCCATACTGATGTTGTCCTCAGCGTTATGATTAATTTTGACAGTCTATCGAGTTAGCGTCCATATTACAAGACTGATCTACATCCATTTATGAAAACAACTTCAGACTTCAAACCTTCTGTCTATGCAGGAACGCTATACTGCCTCAATGTCCGAGGCCTTTTTTTGTCTTTGGACTTGGCTCTCATTTTTCATGATTCTCCTCAAGGTTCTTTGTGTTTTTGTTGTTTTCGATGTTATGTTTTCCTGGTGCTATACAATATGTATAATATGTCTGCGCAACAGTTATGGGAACACTCCACGGTCTGTTAGTTTCCGATTTATTCTCAATCCCCGCGCGGCCCTGTGCAGAAATTTACTCAGCCCAGTGAACTGTTGCTGTTCATCGACTCGCGTTCTGTTGGATTCTTTCGGTTTCAGCTTCTTTCACGCATGGTATCTGGTTCCTGGTGCTCGTGGATTCGTTTCGGTGTTTCCGCTTGCAGCATTACTGACGTATTGTCATTGCATTTCTGCATTTGCTACAGCCAATGTGGTATTCTGCAGCTTCTGGATTGACATCAATGTGTTGCTACTCCATTTAAATCTTAGTTACAAACCCAAATGACCGTAAGGCGTTCTTGCTCGTGGTGTCGCCATATTTGTATGTTTGTTTGATTGTGTGTGTGTGTGTGTATATATATATATATATATCTCCATGCACCTCACCTCTTGGATTGTTGCTGCCTACTGTCCTCCTTCTGGAACTCCTCCTTCTGGAACTCACTGATTACTTTTTTTCTGCACATCATATGCAATGAATCTCTCAAGTGCATCTGCATTGGTACATCATGGGATTCAAAAAATGCATTCAGTTCTGCCCAGGCCTCTGCAGCTGTAGAATGACGTGCGATCAATGGATGTTGATGGTCTTCCAACGAGTTACTTAACACCGCCAAGGCCATGAGATTTTTGACATCCCATTCTTGTTTACTGCCAGCGCCTGACTCTGGAGTTCTTGTTGTAGACCCCGGTGGAGTGCTTGGCCTGACTTCGACCCCTTCCATGATGTCCATCAGTCCTTCCAGTTGAAGGATTAAACTAATTTTCCCCTTCCATGCATGGAAATGTTCCCCACTGAATTTGGGGAGGGGGAGCTCTTTCCATGCGAACCTGGTTGAAACCCCAGGAGAAGTCATCTCCCTGAACTCGAACTATACTCTGTGCTGAGCTTCACGTTCTGCCGAAGTGAATCTTCAAAGAACAAATCTTCGAACTCTGAACTCTAAACCCTAACGCTCTGATACCATAACAGAATTGAGGCAATACAAGAAAGAGTCGAGAGACACAGATACTGAGTACTGGAGAGGAGATCTTAGTTAATGGGGAGAGAACCCGGATTGGGAATATATACCCAACCGTGACAGTCCGAGAGATACAGAAACCCTAGTGGACAGCGGCTGGTCGTGACAATCTGTCACGACCCCGACTATAGTACAAAGTACATACAGCAAAGAACGTGAGTGTACGGAGGTCCAAGAACTGGGTAGTAATTCGACTTCTAACATACTCTATATATGCTTGTCTTAGAAGGGAATGCTTTTACACCTAAAAGTTCGGTTTGTTTGGTAATTACACTATGACAGGCAAATGCCAGTAAGTAGAGTTTGTATTCCCTTGCCCATTCAAATCTCCGTCTCCTTTACCTTGAGTTCGTCGTTGGCGTTCGTGCACACAAGCTTGCTATAGCATCTCACCCTGGGTAAACTCTTGTTCTCTTTTGGGCATTTTCTACAGAAAGATATTGGCATTGGGTAGAAACTTGCTTAAATGATGAATCATATCTTTGTCAGAGATGAACTCTTTCCTACAGTTTCGTAAGGGCTTGGAGTCTGTGCATCTTAGCCCTCCCTTTTAATCTCTCATTTCTCTCATCATTACCTTTAGTTGGATGACTCTGAACCAATATGGTGATGGATATGATTGTCACGTTTCCAGCTTGCATTTGATTTCAACTCTTTGATCGTTTATCTTTCTTCGGCACTCTTTTATGCTTTCTTGGTCTACACACTGATTTTGTCTAACTTCTTGAACCACGTCTGAAAGTGTTGGTTTTAGCCTAGAGCGAACTAAATTTGCCGTCCGCTCGCGATAGACTCCCGTGAAACCCATTGTCGTAGGTTTCGAACAATCCGTTCAACAGCACCTATGAGTAGATGGTGTAGCGATGTTGCTTGTATGCAGGTGACATTTCAGAACTAATATTGTGGAGCTTGAACTTTGTTGCAGCAACTGTATCTTCGGCTTGGAGAACTTGTAGGTCTGCAAGACCACGTTGTGGTTCTAAACATTATCGTCCAAAAGATAGCTACAAACCTAAAGCGCTACAGGCAGGTAAAAGCATTATTTTTCTGGACGATACGCTGTGATTTTCTGTATCGACCAAATATTTTTGTCTTTCCCCTTTTCTACAAACGTCTCCACCTCTCTTCTTTTCTTTTTCATACTTGTATGTATTTTCAAGTTCCTTTGTTCCGATGGCGCTCTGCAGGTTCATAGCGGTTTTTGTCTTCTTCTATGTATCTTCGATTTCCTTTATCGTATGGTGGTGTGCTGAAGTTGAAGCCCTCTTCTGAATGTATTGTCTCCGTCTGCGTGGAAACTATCAAACAGAAATGAATGTGCTTTTTCCTCTGCTGACCATATCCGGTTCGTGAATGGGACCACCCCCTTTGTTGGTACCACCCCCTTTGTCGAACTGGAAACTTATCAAGTCTGTAGTATCCCTTATTCGCTCTTCGTTGGTCGGTCAAGACTGTCCATATCATTCTCGACGTTCTTTTGAAAACTGGCTGCTTGTGATAAGTTTCTTGGTCTGCTATGAGTAAATCTGATGAATGGTGAGCTTATTCTGTGAGTTTATGAGTATGCTTTAGAGCTTCAGTGCTAGACAACCTGCCATGATACATGCATTCAGAGAGAGATATCTTTTCTGTGGGCGATCGATGCCTTGTACAGGTCTGCTTGCGAACTTCGCCCTGCGTTTCCATGTACTTCAATTCACACTGCGTACCTCAATTTGCCAACTGAGTCGAGGGAAATTCTACTGATTTGCGGAAGTGTTTGGACCGTGCAGAGTGATGAAGTCATTGGCGAAACTCTTGCTCTATTTCAAGAGCTTGCAGCTGGGTACTACCATACTCATTTACCTTTGCATCTGGCATTGACGTTTCATGTACACACTTGTTGGGTAAGGAGAAGCATGCCTCGTTGTTGCTGGTCCTACCTGCTCGGCGGGTTTTATGCTTATGGTGGTTGCAGAAAGTCTTCGTGCAAACATGCAATCGTTGTCTTCGCCTTTATCTTTGTTGTCGGCATATCGCATGAAACTTAATATGAATATTCGTCCTTTTAGTAGCTCAGGTTGCTACTTATCAGGTCTCGTGAGCCTGTATTAGCCTGTATCGACCTTAGCCTGAATGTTTTTCTGTTTGTATATTTTCTTCCTAGACCTAAACAGCTTTCTGCATCCTGTAATTATCATTACTCGTCTGAAACGTCTACAAGCGATTTTGCGCTCGCCAGCAGCTACTACGTCAATAAATAGCGTTGGTGCCGCTTATAGGTTCTTCAACTTGAAAGTGGATGTTTTGAGATAATGTTTCTTGATGGTCATCACTTCGGTCTTGTTGATTGTTCTTCAACCACGATATGGAATTCTGTAACCGTCTCTGTCGCTGCATAATGGGTGACAACAATCGTTTAGCTTGTGCGCAAGCTAACTTTGAGCCTCTGCGCGGTCCATTGCCTGTGTACTTCGTTATCCGTTGACGAATCAACGGGAATTTTATGCTTCGCGATCGGATATGGTCAGCAGAGGACTTTTTGTAGTCGGATCGATTTCTCCACACTGCTCAATTTGACAGGTCCCAGTTATTATATCAAGCTGCTTCTTGTCGCTTTCCTACTAGTATATATCGTTCGGACCTTTTAGACCCTTCAGTTTCTTCGATGCCTTGCATGCTAAGCCTTAGCGGTTGATCATGTAGTCTGATATCTGTTGCTGCAGAAAACCTTCTCTTGGTGCATATCTCAGTAAAAGTTTCGTCATTACTTATCGCTCGCTCGTCTTTGTTTCTCAATGTCCTTGGGTTTTGACTTGAGTCTATTGTATGGAAACGGGGCCAAGTGGTTAAGAAAACAGGATGGAAAGTACCTGTTAAGCTTGGGGCCTAGACACCAATACAATGATAAATATGTCTGCCAGCACCCCCTAAGATATCGGAACTATTTAGAGCAAACTGTACCTGAACTATTAACATCAAACGTTCTCTGAACACGACTTCGCGTTCTTTTATGCTTGTTATACTTGCTCTACTTTTTTACGCATAGTGCATTTGCTAAACTTTGACTGCTGCAGATTTTACCTTCTTATCGCTTATCATATCGTGGTCTGTTTATCTGTTATTATTAAAGTTAGATTTTGGGTCTTTGGAAGAAATATTGGGTTGCTCCACTCGATGGAACCCTACTATCGCGCTTAAGCTGAAATCTGCCATCAAGCTATGTGCGGTCATCAGTGTGTAATCGTTCTTTGTGCATGCATGAAAAGGTACATGAGTGGGAAGATGCTTCTTAAGCTGGATGCCGTTAATTTCATTCTGGGACATCACACGGTATGCCCTTTTTCTTTTCTTCTTGCGGGTTTCCTTTCTACGCTTTCTCAGGTTGGGGTTTTTAGCGAGATCGTGAATATTCAATTTTAACAAATTTTATCCTTGATTATTGGCAGAAAGATTTCTTCCCGTTCCTGGACGAGTTTGGCTCTACTCGGAACCGAACCCTATTCTACTTTACGCTGGGTCGCCTTCTCTTCATGGAAGATAGTCCCTCCAAATTCAAGGCATTTGTTGCTCCTTTGCAGAAGGTTTTAACCTGTTTGGATCTCTCATGTAGAGTCTCGTTTTGCTTCGTATGAACGTTTACTTTCTTTCAAGGGATTTGTAGTGGGTTAGATGGTTTGGTCCCGGCCGATATTCCAGCAACAACGGTGAGTTCTCTAATTAGAAATAGGATCGGCGGACTGTCTCATACAACCTTAAAGCATTACCTTAAAGCATTACGTTGCCCATCTTGCTCCTAAAGATTCATTGATCAGTAAACTCCCGACTTGGAGAACTAGCTGATTTATGGAGAACAGGTTCTTGCGGAGAGTAGCAACGCATAGTACATCAGGTCTTGCGGAGAAAGGAACGTGTAGGACATTAGGTATTACTCTGTCCTGTTCATCTTAACGTCAATTGTCGTCGCCGAGTTATACGAACTATACCGATGGGAGTTCCCTAAATGTTACAAAGGCATTTCGATTGTACACCTTGTGTTGGTTGGCACCTGAATCCACATACCATGCTGGATCCGATCCGACCCGACCCGATTGAAGAGAGGGTGGTGATATACAACCGTTGCTCCTCAATCGGGAAGAGACACATCCTAACGACACATCTCTTCCTCGATGAGACATTTTAATGCAAACGATGACTCCCATCAATCCTTTAACTCAAAGGATTGAATCTATCTTATCTTTCCCGGGAGTAAAAATATCCCCCATTGAATTTGGAGAGATATTTCCATCAACATTTGAAGTTCTTGGAGAATTCATCTCTCTCATGGAGAAAGTGTTTGATCTGATTCACGTTCTTCGCAGTGTCGCGCAGAACGCTGACTCCGATTTTGGAAAAGTTCCGAGAATTTAAACGTGAAATTTTGTTTGAATTTCATGAATTTTTAAAATTTCGATCGAAATTTTAAATATTTTTTTCATTTGGGTTCCCTCAGCGTTCTGATCAACACTCACATTTCTTTGGTAAATTTGGCACGCCTTGTGCCAAATAGAGAATTTTGGAAAGTGGTTCGGGTGTGATGTTTCGAGACGGTCTTGGTCTTTGGTTGTTGGGATCTGACAGTGTTTTGGGATCTCGGGGAATTGCTTTGATAAGATGCAGAGAGATGATTCAAAGCAAGTAGCGTATTTTCTGTTTCTTTTGATTCAAGCGTCTTTAAATAAGAATAGAACTAACTATGGTACCGTATGAGAGAAATAGAGCAATTCAATAATGGGGTTACCTCAGGCGTATCTGTCCATCCCTTAAAAAATATTTGACAGATAAAATTGTTGATGAAAACACAGTTTCCGTATCGAGTTTAAATATTCGATCCGAGAGAGGTCAAGGGATGCCTCGGACAGAGAGGTACACACCTCCACAGTGTATTAGGCCCTTACAATGGGACACACCCCTTTCGTGCTATAGTGAATTGCATCCCCTGGACACAGTAGTCCTAATTGATTGGAGACTACCAGCATTAGATCTTAGTTTTAACTATAAGGACTGTAATTGCACTAGTCTACACATATAAAAATTAATAGGGAGGATTACAGCATTCTAACAGTTCCAAGCAGCGCAGTGCAGAAACTTGATGTTAAATAGTAAATAGATCAAGCCCGTGGGACCCAAATTCTGAAAAACACAATACAAGCTAAACATCCACTGACCACGGAAAAGATCTTAAAAATCAACCCCAAGAACGATGAGGAATTAGATCTCTAATACAACAACCTAAATCAAAAGGTACTAGCTGTCATAAAGAAAAGATATTCCACACATCTATTTTATTAGCGAGTCTAATCACTTCATACCTAGGACATGTAACAAATACATACTCTTCATCCTTAATATTACCTACATAACCTACAATATGTTCACTCCTATCAATATGAAACCATCATCCTTCCTCAATTTCAAATCTATAAGATCCAGTTTTGTGCCAAGCAATAATATGACTTAAGAACGGAAAGAGCTCGGTATCCACGGATGAAGCAACCTTGGCTACGTGACAGCATTGTGACGATTTTCGTATAAATATCGTCAACAGTCAGTGAGTACTCTCTCGCGTCAGATTGCATCCTAAGTTGTATTTCAACCACTGTCTACTCGACAGCCATGCCACCGTTTGTGTAGTGATGCATCAACTGTCTTTCATTGTTTAACAGCTTCAGTTCATGCATGACATGCCCCAAATTTACTACGTCTTTCTAGTACATATGAAGAACAGATATATATAGATTTGTATTTTGCCTCTGAGCTTGTATTATTATCTGTTATCTTGTATTATCTGTTCGCACTGCTTGAGGTTTTTATGGATCCTATTTTGAGTGGAGTGATACTTCCTCTGTTCTCTCGGCTTTATTTTCTGATCCGCGTCTCCTGTATTGTAAATAGTTCGACAGTGCGAAGCCTATGTTAATGAGTATTGACATTGGTCTGGGCAACTGGCATCGATATGTTTTTTGTTTGTAACGCCTTGAACTATTCTCAGCCCCTGAGATCCAGTGAAGAAACAGCGCGGAGGCTTCATGTGTTTTTCGTCTGTACCGCTCATGAAACATCCCGCCTCAGTCCTCTATTTTTTTGGGTCCCCTTGCATGTTCAGCCCTGGGGGTTGATTTGGTAACTTCACGTAACTTGATTTGGTATATGCTTCACGTTTTGATCTTTGGGCTCTGCTATCATATTGAAGTGGTGAACCTGTGCAGTGGATATTCTTCTCTGTAAAAATAATACGGAATTGTAATAATTCCAGTGCCCCTTTTGGGACGCTCTTATCAGACGTGAGTTCTTTGTTTGAGAATCTAGCCAACCAAGTCTCGTTTTTTCCCCGCTATTTCTTGGTATGTGACGAATGATCCATTTTTCAGGTGTTTATGATGTTGGAAGAAATGGCAGATTCTGGCTTCCGCAGTAATGAAGTTAAGTGTGCGATAATTGGTTTGATGCGTGACCTCAGGGGTTTAACAATGGCTACAAATAGGTAAAGTCCATTATTTCGCTGTAATGTCCGCTAAAAACTGACGATTATTGTTTTATCTGAATGGCAATAACGTGAGCTCTGTTCTCTTGCAGTAGGAGAACCTATGGACTTGTATTCGATTGGCTTTATCCTACGCATGTCTCACTTTTTGTAAGAATCATTCAGCGATGGACAGATACGCCTGAGGTAAATTTATCAATACCATCGTATCTCAGAATATTTAATACAAGTATTTCAGAACATTAGTTTTAACTGCAACTCATTTGCATCTAGATGATTTACATCATGTAAATTAGTTTCCGGGACTGGTTTGGGGAGATCAAATTGAGGTTTGAAAGTAGGATCAGGTTCCTTTCACTGATTACGACGGCTTTATTGAAACCCGAGGCTTTAACGTTTTTCAAATTGAAGACGTCTGGCCATCCGGTTTGGTGATTGCCTATGCTTTACAGTGCATATGTCTTGTTTTCAAATTCAATCTGAACTGTTGAATTTTTGTGCTTGTTTGACGTAGTGAACAGCAAGCCAGTGGAGATTATATATTCAGGAGAAATACGATGATCGTGTTTCATAGAAATATGTCTGTGTTCAGTCTGGCCATCAGTTTGTTTTAGCTCCTTGCTGAGTGGAAGCTATAATGCACTCGTCCGTGTTGGTTTCCCTAGATCTTCTCTTGTTTCTACCTTTTTAATTCGTCAATAAGCCAAGGTTAGGTCTTTGCCGACCTTGTGGTTGCTGAAGCCCCAACCTTAGCATGTATATGAAATCTTATCTCGTATTTAAGTAAAGCTCCAGCAGACGTTGGTTTCCTCATCACCTTTGCTCTGCCTGACCGGGTAGCCTACAAACGATGAAAAATGTAACCCTGTCTCGCGCAATTTCAGAAGAAAATATGATACCCACTTCTTTACAGAGGTAAATACTACAAAGCGGAATAAAAATATCTGCCTTACAGGCCATCTCCAAGGCATTATAAGCGTTGTATGGCAAGTAGAGTAGTTTTATAGGGTTATTTATTACGTAGAAAGTTCCTCGATCGTTTTCACCTTGGCCTGTCGGGCTTGAAGTTGTCTTCAGCCCCCGTGCGGTCCAGTGCAAAATCTACGCATCTCGGGATGCACTAATGAAGCAGTCTAGATTACGTGACGGGTATCTGACGCTGCCCTATCTACATTTGTTGAGGTCACTGGACGACTTTTTTGCTTCGGACCCCTTCCTCCATACTCCAGTCTTACTTCTCTTTGTCGGGCACAGTCGGTCTCTTCCCTGCCTTGCCTATACCACCGATCTTCTATTCCTTCGCTTGTTTCACTGATTATGTAAGGCAAATATCCTACATATTATCCAGATTTTAGTTCCTCTTATGTCATGTGTATATACGTCGAATGAAGGCGAAGTTGAGACAACATGGATACAGAGTACTGATAATATTCTATTCATGTTGTCATCCCTACAGGTCATGACTCCTCTATTGAAGTTCATGGCTGAGTTTGTCTTGAACAAGACTCAGAGATTGGCATTCGATTCATCTTCTCCCAATGGAATTTTGCTTTTCAGAGAAGTCAGCAAGGTCATTGTTGCCTACGGAACCATTATTCTTTCTCAGCCAGTTTCTGCTGATCCGTACACCTACTTGTACAAGGGTATCTGGATCACTTTGACAATTCTAACAAGAGGTTAGTAACTTGATTATCTTACATTTGTTTGCGGCTCTGAATAGCCAGAGGCAATAATGTTGCACGTGGATTTATATTACCCTACAACCATTTTGCTAATGAGGCTTGACAATGTTTTATATCAGCTTTGGCCGGAAATTATGTGAATTTTGGTGTCTTTGAACTATACGGAGATCAGGCGTTATCTAGTGCGCTGGAAATTGCTCTAAAGATGTCCCTAGCGATACCATTGGTTGACGTCTTGGCGTTTCGAAAGGTACGTGCTTAGGAGCATCGATTCCTCAGAGCTGATTTTTGGAAGCAGTAAAACTGAATTGTACTTGGTCGCAAATTACATTCTAGCAGCGAGCATATGCTAGTTCGGAGATACTCTGTTTGATGTTTTCTTTTATGTGGTGAACAATTGTGCAAAGGCTCTTGCATGATTCGCGGCACAGTCTGAAGTGATACGCAATGCAACTCAATGAACCTTGGCTGGTTGGTTGGGTCACAGCTTGCAAGGGCGTACTTTGGACTGCTGGAAGTCCTATGTCATAACCACACTGCTGTTATTGTAAATCTTGAGACGGAAGCATTTGCGCACATTGTGGGCTCGTTGGAATTCGGGCTTAAGTCTTTGGACGTCAGCATTTCCTCTCAGGTTGGTTGACTCCTTGTAACCAGCATGACTCATATTTCCTGGAAGTAGCTTTTTGTTCTATACATGTTATTCTAGGCTGGTCTAATTCTGTGCTTCTACGTATTGCACAGACTGAGTTCAAGGATCGCAAGGTTTATCATTGTATTTACAAACCTAGTCGTTATGAACTAAGTATAATACTCTCTAACAGATAAACTCTTCTAGTTATTCTAAACTCTAGTGCAGCAATTGATTATGATGTATCTCAGATGTATCAACAGTAATGCATTATGCTTCTCCTGTTTTAGCCCTAGTTTGGTTCGATTCCCTTTATCTTTAAGAAGTAATATCACACTCTGAATATCACTCTTCATATCCGAATTGAAAGCAATTTAGAATTCAGCTTCATCCCATTTTCTGAGATTCTTGGTTCACATTTAAACCCGAGTTACTAACTCAAAATTTTAAGGGATAAATGGCTGCCAAATACTATTCAAGTAAGGAATATTCTATTGTTGAAGTCAGTATGTATATATATATTGATGACATGAACTTTGTTTGTAAAGTTGACTGAGATGCTTTCCATATGTATAACCACTGTTGCAGTTCAGTAATAACAGTCACAACACACAGAGAGTTAGAACTCTGTATGTCTTGTTTATCAATGTCACATCACACCGTGACATTGACTTAATAACAAACACTTAGTAATCGTTAGATCTGAATTCGATTTACGATGTGCTATGTGTATTTATAGTATAGGCAGTTGGGATCTGAATCTACTTTGAAATGGGGTTTTATGCTAGTTGAGGTGACAATTTGGATAGCAGTAGAAGCACTACTAATTACCTGTTGAATGTGTATGGTGGAACTATTAGTTGGAAAAGCGAACTCATAAACTCCGTAGCATTGTCCACAAAAGGAGCTGAAATCATGGCTTCTTCAGTTGCTAATCAAAAAAGAATTTTGTACATGAGTATGTTGAGTGAAATAGGTATTTTTCCACAAGCCCCAACAACTTCGACGTGTGCTGCTATTGCTAAAGCTATTGCTTTCACAAAAGCCTATGTTATCGTCTTTGAACCAAACATATAGAAGATTAGTCGAACGTAAAGAATACCAACAAACCGTTATGTTAGTTTACTGTTCAACTGAGAACATGATTGCTGTTGTGCTAATGAAATTACTTTCAAATGAGTTTTTTAGGATTTCTGTCAGAGACGTGTTTCTATTTGACTATTCATAAAGTGGGAATGATCTGTGATCAAGGCAGTAATAGTAACTAACGAACTATCAGAAGTAATGCAATGCAAGAAAGAGTCGAGACACAGGTACTGAGTCCTGTAGAGAAGATCTTAGTTAATGGGGAGAGAACCCGGATGGGGGGATATATACCCAATTGTGACAGTGGTCATCCGAGAGATACAGAAACCCTAATGGACAGCGGCAGGTCGTGACTAAGTGTCACGACCACGACTATAGTATAAAGTACATATGTTAAAGAACGTGAGTGTACGGAGGATCAAGAAGTGGGTAGTAATACGACTTCTAACACTCCCACTTACTACCTACTTACTTCGCTCATCCACATTTCCAAGTAATAAACCTAAATTCTGATTATGATACCACTGCTTTTCTCTAGCTAATGGTTTTGTCATAATATCAGCAATCATCTCTTCTGTTGGAACATAAACTAACTTCACCAATCTCTGACAAAACGATATCTAATGTCAATATGCTTAGATCTCTCGTGATTTTTGTGGTTCTCTATCTGTGAGATCGCACTTTGGTTGTCACAGAAAATAGTGGTCGACTCCAGCTCAAAACCTAGATCGGTTAGTAATTCTCTTAACCACATAGCTTCAGCTCCAGCCTTGGACAAAGCCATGTACTCTGCTTCTGTAGAAGAAAGCGCTACTGACTTTTGTTTCTTTGAATTCCAACTAATGGTTCCGCCATTAAGTTGGAAACAATAACCAGACGTCGATCACCTCGTGTCAAGGCAACCACCCCAGTCCGCATCGGAATATCCAGTTAAACCGGATGGTTTGTCAACCCTCTTGAACACAAGGCCAAGGTCGAGAGTTCCTTTCAGGTATCTGAAAATTCTGCCTTCCAATGTGTCAATCCAGGATTTGACATGAACTGAGCCACAGAACTGACAGCAAAAGATATATCGGGTCTAGTGCAGACCATAGCCCACATCAAGCTCCCAACAGCAGCTTGATATGGAATATCTTTCACCTCTTCGCTTTCTCCCACAGAATTGGGAGAGTCAAGCACACTTAACTTCAAACAGGGTTTCATAGGTGTATCAATAGGCTTACAGTCAGCCATGTTGAACCTCGCAAGCTTTTCAACCAAATTTCGTGGTTGGGAGATCCGAATCCACCCTTCTTCACGATTTCTGTCAACTTGCATACCAAGACAATGATGGATATCTTCTAAGTCCACCATTTCGAACTCCGGTTTAAGTTTCTCCTTGATCTTTGTGAGGAGACGCAATGAATTGCTTGCCAGTATACAGTCGTCCACATACAGTGCTAAATACACAAACGCATTCTCCTGAAAGTGAACGTAAACATTCTAATCTGCATTAGCCCTGGTAAAGGCAATCTGCAGTAAGAACGTGTCAATCCTCTGGTACCACTGTCGTGATGATTGTTTCAGTGTAAACTAAATAAGTCCATTTATGGACTTATTCAGTTTACACACCATGTTTTTATCAGAAGAGATATTCAACCCTTCAGGAAGGGCCATGTAGACTTCTTCATCCAACCGCCCGTTCAGGAATGCAGTTTTCACGTCCATCTGGTGCAGCTCTAAATTGTATTGAGCTGCTAGAGCCATTAACATCCTAATGGATTTCATCTTCACCACAGGAGAAAATCTTTCTGAAAAATCAACACCATAAACCTGTGAATATCCTTTTGCTACTAACCTGGCCTTGTATCGATCAACAGAACCGTCAGGCTTGTATTTGATTTTGTAAATCCATTTGCAGCCAACAATGTTCTTACCCGCAGGTAACTCTGTCAATGTCCAGGTGTGGTTTTTCTTCAAAAAAGAAAATTCATACTCCAGAGCTTCTTTCCATCTGATGGAATCGCAATTCTGTAAGGCCTCTTCATAAGAAGTAGGTTCTTGGTGAGCTCTCCATACGAAAATAAACCTCGATGCTTCTTCCTCTTCTCCAAACGTTGATCATATCTTTCGACACGTTTCGTTACTCTTTCCCCCTTCGAAAGAGAGGATCGATGGAGCGGGAAGACGATGAAGCGGCCCCGTAGCTGCAGGCGGGACTTCAGATGCAGTGTCGTGAATTCGGAGTTCTCCCAGTAAGTCTTCGAGGTTGCACACTGTATCATCAAGAGGAGCTGAAGAGAGAGAATTCTCCCGTAGCTTCCATGTGCGCCTCTGATAAGTCTGGCCAAAAAGGGCTGGAGAAGTTGCAGGGACTTCAGCAGCAGTGGGAGGATGACTTACGGAGGAAATGGAAGTTGCCTGTGGAACTCCCACTGCATGTGATGGTGTCAATTGACTGAATTCTCCTACCGCTGGTGGCTGTTCTGCTGGTAGCCGTTCCGCTGGTAACCTCCTGCGAACTGGATCAGTCGATGGAGCTAATGGAACAGGGCGAAAGGGAGTAAAACCTTCTTGCTCAGCAGGCGGAACAACTGATGCTTGCTGATGGTGAGAGGTAGCTTCTCGAACTGCGAAAGGCATAAATCTGACATATCTGCTTTCAAGAATCTTGTGAGAGTTCTTTCGCTGTACGCGATATCCTTTGGCTGTAGTAGAATAGCCAAGGAAAACACATTCTACACTCTTGGGGTCTATCTTAACGTGATGGCCTTTCTCAATATGAGCAAAGGCAGTACATCCGAAAACTTGTATGTTCCGCAGATCTGGCTTCTGCCCATGCCAAAGTTCGTAAGGGGTAAGGGGTTTTGTCGTTGGGTAGAGCCTTCGATGGAGATCTGTTCTGCAAGTAAACGGCCGTATGGATGGCTTCGCCCCAATAGCCATGAGAAAGACCAGAATGTGTCACCATAGTGACAATAGAATCGATGAAAGTTCGATTCTTCCGTTCAGCTACTCCAGAATACAAAGTATCAGGAATGAAAAACTGTCGTCGTATGCCGTGAAGTGTCTTAAATCAGTGAAAGCTCGAGATTTGTATTCAAGAGCATTATCTGATCGCAGAACTTTGATGCGCTTGTTCAGGTAATTTTCAGCCATCGACTTGAATTCCTGAAACTTGGCAAAGGCTTCAGACTTCTGTTCTATCAATTACACATGCGTATATCGTGAAACATCATCGATAAATGTGATGAAGTACTTACATCCCGAGAATGTTTGAGTTTTCAGAGGGCCACAAATATCTGTGTGTACTAAACCAAGAAGGTCTTTAGCACGAGTGCCTCCTTTGCTTGGGAACTTGGCTCTGGTCGACTTCTCTAGAGTACATGATGTGCAGAAAGGGAGAGTTTGAAAGGAACATTTCTCCAAACCTTCTACCATATGGTGCTGCTTCATTTGCTGAATCCGCGGAAGACTCATATGACCGAGCTTGAGATGCCATTGATAGGTGTCCAGCTCTTCAGCATTGGAAGCCGAATATCAAACATTAGCAGGAACCGCAGGTGTGTTGAAAAAAGTCGTTCCCAGCTTAAACAGGTTGTTGTCATTGATGCACTGAGCAATGACGTTACCCTTCTTCCCCTTCAAGATGCATCGATCTGGTTCAATGAGTAGACTCCCTCCTTGCCGAACAAGCTTATGTATTGAAAAAAGATTCTTGTGGAGACAAGGAACCTGTAACACTTCAGGTATTAGCCGTTCTTGTCCATCATTCAAAAAAATGATGACATTACTTTTTCCCTGAATGAGTTGTCCATCATTCAAAGAAATGAGGACATTAACTTTTCCCTGAATGAGTTGGCGACTGTCCTCGCCCAGATATACAAACTCCTTCAATGGTAGTTCAGTATATGTCACAAAGGCATTTTTGTTGTATTCCATGTTTTGATTAGCACCAAAATCCACGTACCAGACCGGATCCATCCCGATTGAAGTTAGAGCAGTGACATACAACCCTGGTGATTGTTTGGTGTATAATGTGAAGAAGCTCTGTCGTGTTTCTTCTTCCTGCACACAAGGTGACCTTTCTTCTTGCAATAGAAGCATTTCATCTTTTGCCTGGGAAAAGATGGTTTGGCAGGAGATTCTGGTCGTGATGAAGGACCTGCCTCAGTGGAGTGTCTTGGATGCATCATCTTTGGCGCCCCCGCTCGTTTCTTTGCTGTGTAGAGTGCTGCCATTCCGTAGATCAACTCTTCTTCTTGAAGGTGTGATTTTTCAAGAAGAACACCAGCAATAACAGATTGGGTGGTCAAAGTTTGCTTTGTCCTCATGGAGCGCACAAAGGATCTATACTCGATGGAAAGACTCCAAAGGAGACAGGTACAAGCTTCTGCCTCTGGAATAGTCTGCCCTATAGATGCCAACTAGTGAAGAAGTAGATGAAACTTGGAGATATGTTTCGTTACAGACTCGCCTGACTTCATTTTGAGAGAATGCAATGCATCTCTCAAGTGTATCTGCACTGGTACATCATGGGATTCAAAAAATGTATTCAGTTCTGCCCAGGCTTCTGCAGCTGTAGAATGGCGAGCAATCAATGGATGTTGATGGTCTTCCAACGAGTTACTCAACACCGCCAATGCCATGAGATTTTTAACATCCCACTCTTGCTTGCTCCCTGCGTGTGACTCTGGAGTTCTTGCTGTTGAACCCGGTGGAGTGCTTGGCTGAACTTCAGTCCCTTCCATCATGCCCATCAATCCTTCTAGTTGAAGGAACAAACTAATCTTGCTCTTCCAGGCATGGAAATGCTCCCCATTAAATCTGGGGAGGTATTTCCATGCGATTCGGGTTGAAACCCCTGGAGAAGTCATCTTCCAGAACTCGAACTATACACTGTGCTGTGCTTCACGTTCTGCCGAAGTGAGTTTTCGAAAGTCTTCGAACTCTGAACTCTAAACCCTAAAGCTCTGATACCATATCAGAAGTAATGCAATGCAAGAAAGAGTGAGACACAGGTACTGAGGCCTGGAGAGAAGATCTTAGTTAATGAGGAGAGAACCCGGATGGGGGGATATATACCCAATCGTGATAGTGGTCATCCGAGAGATACAGAAACCCTAATGGACAGCGGCTGGTCGTGACACTTAGTCACGACTATACAAAAGGTACAAAGTACATATGTTAAAGAAGGTGAGTGTACGGAGGATCAAGAAGTGGGTAGTAATAGGACTTCTAACACGAACAATAAGAAGTAACTTGGATTGACCTATGGTTTTGTATGGAATTTACATTAGGGATGTCTTTATGGCTAATGAATCAACAGCCACACTGGTCTAGGGTCCCAAGTCTGAACCATAACGATTGGTGATTCTTTACCCACAAAGTGATGATTTCTTCCATTACTGACACACACATGAGCTGTTAGATTACCGAGATATGGGGTTGCTACAATCTAGTCGAATTGGAGTTGGAGCTTAGTTCAATTTGGAGAGTATTTCATAGAGTTTCATCTTTAAGAGTATATCAGCGTTGGGTTGTATGTATGTTAGACAGCAGTAGCACATACATACACATAGCACATACATATCTAGTTTCTATAGACCTGCAGGCCTCATTTATCAGAATTCTAAGAATTAAGGTGACTTTGTCTTTTCCTTAGCAATAAATGTATGTGGAGTAAGTGACCAGCAATTTTCCAAGATCAGCGCTGTCAAAGACAACCGCCACTTAAAGTGTCAAGTCTTACCCTGAAACTCAAGGGCCTGAATTGGTATAAGTTATATTTTAGCTTTACATCTGCTGATATTACAACATGGTTACTGCCCCATCGATACTTTACAAAGGAATGAAATAAATAATTTTCAAATAAAGAAATTATCTTCGTCGATCTGGCAACAGCAGTATGTTTGTGATCAGGAGTACTCATGCCGAGTTGTGGGATGTCGTGGGTCTTCAGTGTGCTTCGGCAGTCGATAGCTTAGCAGGTTTTTACTTCAGCAAGATCACCACAGGGGAGTCAAGAGCGTCCACAGAGGCTGTTAACATGACGAGGCACTTGTCACAGTGCCCAAATATTTTTCTTGAAGTACGTTGTTCGGAGCGGTTAAACGTGTTTTTTTGCTAAATATTCGATTCCACATTGTTGATCTAGAGAAACATTCCAAGGTCTATCCTCTGCTTGGAAGTCCTGGACAGATACTTGGAACCAGAACATAACTTGCATCCAACAGTCTTGACCAGCACTTTGGGTTCCATTCATTTTAGTCGTAGATAGGTAGGCACCATGCCACGTTGATAATGGAGCAAATGATTTTGAACTCCACTCTCATAATCAGTGAGAATTATCTTCTTCGTGCAGATTTTGAAAACCTTGTTTGAGTTAGTCTTGTTGGAGGATTGTGCCAATCAGTGGAGCTTGAGTCGACCAATGCTCAGCCTCATACTTATCAGTGAGCAGGTGTGTATCTTTCCTTTGTGTCTAAGCGAAGCTTGCACCACACTGCTCGACTCCATGGACAGAGTAAGAATGCAACACGAGGTTGCAACTTGATCTGAAACTGCTCGTTTGAATGGCTATCGTGTTAGAGGCCTAACTTTACTAAAGGATGTGTTTTTCTACTTCTTTGAACATCAATGTGAATTATGTGTATCACTTTCGGATGATGTTTTACCAAATCGGGTACCTTGTAGACTCTGTAGCATTTGTCATTGTTTCCTACCATCCCTCTCCTCCTTATCCTCCATTGGAATATGAGCAGCAATACCGAGATAAGAAGTTTTATGAAGGAAGAAAGTTATGATTCCCTGTGATTGATTTCATAGCAACTCGAATCTCACTAGAATGCTAACTCCACTTCTCCACTCTCATCCAGCACTCAGAGGCATATATAGTATTTGAGAAATGATTCTTCACAATATGAACCTTGTAATTACGATTGCTTTACCAACACAACAGCAATACAGACAATTTCATTCTCAACTTCAAATTCCAAAACCCGAACCCATAGTGGCTGACGATCTCCTTAGCTAATGTCCAAATTAATGAAAGAGAAGTTACCAGGTCCTTGTATACCTGATCCAAAGTTTTTGTATAGCCATATTACCTCAATATTACATCATTTTGCATCACATCACAGGTCTTCATCATGACCTTTTGGTCATGATGTGATGTAATGGTTGATCTTTTATATACCTAAAATTTGAAGATTGAAAGTTAATAACTACTTAACTCTTGAAATAGTAAGCGTTAGTCTATACAACTATTATTCTACGCTTAATTTCATAGAGAAATTGATTTCAATATTAAAAGATTCAACACAGTAAAGGATAACTTTTGAGTTTTTGCTTATGCCTTTTTAAGTTGTCTTTATTGTCTTCTAAAGCCTCGGCTTCTTAATTTCTTTGATGCTTCTTGCCATTTTTCTGTCTATTCCATGCATTACCTTTCTGTCAATTTCAAATCAACTGTCTCGATAATTATGTGACGCAACAGTTCTTACCTTGACCTGTGCTTATCGTTACCCATCATTACAGATCTACTCAAACCTGAGGGCTCAACTACTTTCTTCTCAGGTACTGTCATCGAGACTTTTTGGTTGGATGGTTGGAACACCGTAACTTTTAGAAGGTTTCTGAGACAAGTATGTCTGCGGAGAGTGTAGTGGGAGCAGTACCTCTAGCCCATAGTTGCGCCTGTGGTGTTTTCTAGTGCCTGCTCACTGTGCGTGCATGTTCTTATCGCCTCACGCCGTGGCGTGAGGCGATAAGAACAAATATATTTTCAGATATATTTGTTCAGATATTGTCCAAATAAGCGTAGGTAAAAGATAGTTGATAATACAGATTGTTGGCTTTGATTTGGCACACAAGTTATTCCTAGCCGGTTTTATGCTTAATACTCTTCAGTTCAGTAGTCTTGGACTGGGTTTAGGGTCTAGACTAGAGTCTTCCCTATAAATGCGTGTCGCGCAAATAGTTACATCTACCCTATCGGTAACGCATAGGAGAGACATGGTTTGTCGGTCATCCTTTTCACAGTAGAAGTAGCGTAAGAGTAAAGAAGTCAGAAAAGCTCTTCACTGAGACAGGATTGAACTGTGCGTGAATTTGTGCAGCCTTCAGATCAGCAGCATCGACTTGCTGAATGTTTTGATAAGTTGATGGCTGATGTTGCAAGGACAATCGAGCCAAAAAATAGAGACAAATTTACTCAAAATCTCACAGTCTTTCGCCATGAGTTCCGAGCGACTTAGTGATCTATTTCAAAGCTGTCTTCGGAATTTATACATTGCTAGGAAGTTGTCGACCACGTTTGACAGTGTTGACGGGGATTTCCTGAAAGGTTTGCGGTATATACCGTCCTCCGAGCACCTCAGCTCATCACGTTTTTTCTTTCGACATGTGCATGCCTCTGCTCGCAGCTTCAGCTTTGTCGTGAAGCTTAGCTTAGCACTGTGTACTAAGCAAAGTCTCTCATTTGTGACCTGTATACTGATGTATTGGAAGGTGATTCCTTGACGAACTGAACCCATTCACGCTTTCTCCGCGAGGAGAAGATACTCAATATCCTAAGGATGCTTGTAAGTTGTGTCAAAGAAAGGTTCATTTATAATATATGAAAATAGAACAATATTAGACTGCGACCATGTGAATGGTGTCAAGGCTAATCGAAATTAAAGTATAGATAAGAGAGATGAAATATCCTTGAATGTAATTCGTTTCAAGATATAAAATTATTTTAAAATGTGATATATATGAGAAAGATTTACAATAAAATCGAATTCATTTTTAGTTGTGATAGAGTAGCAAGTTTCATCATTTTACTACGAAAAAGATTATATGATTAATGTTAAGAAGTCTTAGATTTTTTTTTTGTTTATTTTTATGGATAAAGGTAGTATGAACTCATGATTCATTTGATATGAGTAGCAGAATACCCATTTCCAATGCTTGTTGAAGTTGTAGAATTTACAATATCCAATTGCTTCTCCATCGACGTTTCGTTTCGTGGAAGACTCGTTCGCAATTCGTCGTGCATCGTGATTCTACATAATGGAAAGGTGCAGGCTCCCATTCGGCAGAAACATCACTAACAATATTAATTTTTATCTAAGTCCAATCATATAAATGTGGAGAATAAATGTTTTCAGGTGTATTTTTAAAATTATGAGAAACTAGTAAACTAAGTTGATGTCGTCGTAAATTTTCAATTTTCATGCAGTTTTGAAAATTAAGTAATAATATATCCAATCTTTTTCAATAAAAATCTGCAACTTCTTTTACATTTTTATAATATAGATTTCACTTCATTTGGTTAAAGATATAGTATGTTCCATCTCGTACAGTCTTTGAGAACCATGTACAATTCAAATAATTCCAAACCTCCTAAATCCTTAAAGTACAACCCTCTATACATGACCATCAAAAATATCATCCCTAGCATTATATCTTTCATTGAGTTCTGCAATATCTTCCCAAGATTGAGTTCTCCGATTACTAAAACTAAACACTTGAAACTCAAAATCTACACAACTGTAAAAAGTTGTGTAGATTTTGTTGAACAAGAATTCTTCCAAAACCAACTATCAAGATGTCAAGAAGATATTGTTAGTTTCATCATATTTTAACTTCTACCTGTTACACATCTACAAGGTAAAGACATTGGAGTCCGACATTCTTGGATTAATTGGAGTATCTTATAATTATCTGTCTATTTGTTACTTTGCACCATGGTTCATATTTATTTATGTCACAAGTAATTGCAATACAAATTGACTATTTCATTGACTCATAAAAATGCGTAAATATCTTTTGTTAGTTAAAATTAAAGTACAAGTTATTTTTACTGTTAATATAGATATTTTAGCGTGTATTAGTCATAGATGCGCGTCAACTATCCACGCGCTTGGTAGATAGAGAATAAGTGTATTAATCTGTTTTTTAGGTTAGGCTTGAGTGTGTTAGTTAAAAACATCACATCAACATCCGTATGCTTGTTAGTATAATCCGCCACGTCATTTATCCACTAGGAATGGGATGGATAATGAAGATCAGATTTTATCTTCTTGTACTCGTTCGTGAGAAATATTGTTAGTATCCCTCATCTTTAGAGTTTATGTTTCCATCTTCAGAGTTTATGTTTTCATCTTCATGTGAAATTCTCTCTAAACACTAGTGTTACAATGGTATCAGAGCAACGTTACTCTTTCCTTGAGTGTGGATTAACCCTCATGGAAGAGCAAGTGAGTGATGATGGAGAGTTGTTTTGAGAATGTATAGAGGTTGGCAGAAATCATTGATTTGCATATAGAGAGAGGTGGAAAGTGGAAAATTGTGATTTTACAAATATGGACAGGTTGTGACAAGAATCCAGTATCGCACTTGCCAATACTTAACTTATTCTTTATTCAACTTCCTTGCCTGAAAAAACACTATTTTTAGATGTATCTTGTGGCTTGTTAGGATGCAAATTTATGACTAGAGTGATATAGTCGAGAGTGTCTCTAATTTTTCCAATAATTATCTATGGAGAGATTTGGGATAATACCATAAACATTTTTTATTGAATGTTTCATGAATTTGAATCGTGAACATTTATGTAGAGATTAGAATAGTATATAGACATAAGAGATTGTTGAGAGACTTTCTTTTGAGTAATTATGGAAAAATTGCTATAGAGTTGTGATAGAATCATCTATACCTTTCGTGGCTACTTTTTTGAAAGCTCAAAAGTGATTATACTAACTTTGTATTAGAGTGAGTGTGAAAAAACATGAGAACATCAATCTATATGGATGAGATTCTAAACGCAATCATGGCAAAAATGAAAGAGTTGAGAAAAGTGATAGTAGATGATCACATCAAGCAACAAGCCATGGAAGATAAAATCTTCCATGGATGTTGAATCTCAAGTTCAAGTTTTCTAAGTTCAACCAAAACTAACTCCTATTGATGCACCAGAGGTAAACAAAAGACATTTTCAAGATATTGAAGATGAAGCACATCTTTTGCTTTGAATGAGAAAAATCCTGTAAGGTGGGAAGTTCACAAAAGAAATAGAACGATGAAAGTGTTAGAAGGATGGATAATGAGGATGAATATTCATTTATTTCATTTTCATGTTTATGATTACATTGCAGGAATGTTCATGAGATTTTATCTTACGGATAAGGCTCTCAGATGATACACAACATGGGAGAAAATGCTTTTAGAATAAGATGCTACCATTTCATGATCGAATGCCGGAAAGACTTCTGCAAAATTTTCAAGCGGATTACAATCTTTAAACTACAAAAATGAATTTGTGGGATTTGAACCACAAAGGAGGTATCCATCAGTACATTAAAAAATTTTGTGATCTTCAAGTAGTTATCATGGATATGAGTGGAACAAAAATCTTGGACGCGTTCAAACGAGGCTTGAAGGATCAAATTCAAAAGGAGTTGATGGTAAGCAATTCATCCACAATGAATGAAGCAATCGTGATTGCTCAACAAATTTGGGATGTTTTTGGTGTCACACACGGTGAATCAATAAGCAATTTTGTGATCCATCTGACCCAACACCGATGGAGTTGTGAAATCTTCAACGTAGAGAATGTTTTGCATCAACAAGGGGACCACCGCCAAAATTTGGAGGTGAGATTCGAAGATCAGAAGTTCTAAATTTGCAAGAAGATTATACAAATAACGGAATGATTCGAGAAGAAGGTGGAGTTCGTGATAATTGTCAATGCTATGCATGTGGACGAATGGATCACATTGCCAAGTTTTGTCGAATTTGACCGGCACCACAAGGAGAATAGCCCATACAGCGACGAACGTTTAACATGAAGAGGATAGAGTATGAAGAAGTAGAGGAAGAAGTTTTGCGAAATGAAGATCACCAAGACACTTGACTCGTGACCTTACTTGTTCTACAAAGCGAAGAAAGAGCAAGGTTGGAAGAAGCCAATGGTTGAGAGATCATGGAAGGAGTAAGAAAGAAGCTCAACTCATTGTCACTAATGGTTTGATGGAAGTACACAAGGTGTAACCATCTTTAGTTAGTTAGAACTAAAGTAGAGGTTACTCTGAATATTGATGTAGATACTTTAGTGTGCACTAGTCATAGCTGCCACGTCAGCGATCCGCGCACTTGGTAGGTACAGAGTGGATGTGTTAGTTGACAGTGCCACGTCAGCAATCCGTGTGCTTGTAGGTAAGGATTGAGTGTGTTAGTTAGTGTGTTAGTTGGGTGCGCCACGTCAGCGATCCGTGTGCTTGTTAGGGTTATCCGCCACGTCATCCATCCACTAGGAGTGGTATGGATGGTGGGGATTAGATCTTATCACCTTGTACTTGTTGGTGAGAGCTATATAAGGGAGAGGAGAACCATTGTTGGTATCTCTCATCTTCAGAGTTTACGTTTCTATCTTCGAGTGAACTTCTCTCTAAACCCTAGTGTTACAATGGTATCAGAGCGACCTTGCTCTTTCCTTGAGTGTGGATTACCCCTCATGGAATAGCAAGTGAGTGATGATGGAGTGTAGTCTTGAGAGTGTATAGAGGCTGGCAGAGGTCATTCATCTGCATGTAGAGAGAGGTGGAAGGGGGACATTGTGTTTTTGCAGATATGGACGGGATTGACAGGAATCCAGTACCGCACTGGCCAATTCCTAACCTATTCGATATTCACCTTCGTTGCATGGAAAAACATCATTTTCGGATGTACCTTGTGGCTTGTTGGGGTGCAGATTTTATGACTAGAGTGATGGAGTCAAGAGTGCCACTGATTCTTCCAATAGTTACTTATGGAGAGACTTGGGATTGTACTATATACATTCTATACTGATTGTTTCATGGATTTGAATCGCGAACCACCTGTCCCGGTTCGATTCAGCACTTATGTAGAGATTAGAACAGTATATAGACAGAAGAGGATATGGAGAGATTTTCTTGTGAGGAATTATGGAGAGGAGTACTATAGAGCTGTGATAGAGTCACCTGCACCTTTTGTGACTCCTTTGTTGAGAGGTCACATAGTGATTATACTCACTTTGTATTAGAGGGAGTGTGAAAAAGCATGGGAACATCAATTGATATGGGTGAGGTTCTCAATGCAATCATGGCAGAGATGAAGGAGTTGAGAAAAGCGATAGTAGATGGGCATACCAAGCAGCAAGCCATGGAAGATAAAATCTTTGCATTAGAGAGTGAGAAAGTAGAGAGAGAGAGAGTTGGAGAGATGGAAGTTGAATTCAAGTTCAAGCTTCCCAAGTTCAGCCAGAACCAACTCCTATTGATGCAGCAGAGGCAAATAGGAGACGTCTTCAAGAGATTGAAGATCAAGCAAATCTTTTGCTTCGAATGGGAAAATCCTGTAAGGTGGAAGCTTACAAAGGGAGTAGAGCAATGGGAGTGTTAGAGGGATGGATTATGAAGATGAATATTCATTTATCCCATTTTCATGTTTCTGATTATATTGCAGGAATGTTCATGAGATCTTATCTTACGGATAAGGCTCTCACATGGTACACAACATGGGAGAGAATGCTTTCAGAACGAGGTGCTACCATTTCGTGGAGTGAAATGCAGTAAGGACTTCTGCAAAATTTTCAAGCGGTGGATTCTCTTCAAACTGCAAGAATGAAGTTGTGGGAT